GTCCCAGGGGGGAAGGTACCAGTGAAGCCCTGTGGTCGGCGCAGGTAGACCTGCTCGTGTAGGCTGCCCTAAAGAAAGGCAGTAGAGAAGTCGAGGGAGTGAAGCTCGTAGTCGCGCCGGACAGGAAAGCAAGCTCGTACTGCCGGTCCTCTAGAACGTCACTGCCAAGGGCAGGTGCACCCCCGACGGACGGAGGACGGGCAGGGTCAGAGACCAGAGCGGTAGAGTAGTCAAGGCAGCGGGTAGAGGCGAAGTAAGCGACAGCAGCGACAAGCGCGCCAAGGCGCGAGACAGGAACAGACGGGTCGGTAACAAGAGAGGCAAGATCCTGAAGGACAAGGGGACGAGCGGCACGGAGATAGTCAGACAGCGGAGGAGGTGCAATAGCAAGCGACAAGGGAGGAGGCGACGGGAGGAGGGGAGGACGAGACGAGTGGGAACGGAGCAACATAGGGTGGGAGCGCAGGACAGGAGAGACGGGACGAGCACGGGAGGGACGGCGAGACCAAACGTGGGACGGAGGTGTAGGGTCAGGGGACAGCGGAGGGGACACAGGAGGGGAACGAGAAGGTAGACGGGTCGGAGACAAGTCCGGCGGCAGGAACACAGGACCGTAGACAGGAAGGTCAGCAGGCGGTGGGGGAGACATCGGCGAGCGGTCCGGGGAGGGAAGGCCGAGCATGCGGAGAGCGGAGACCGGCGGCGACGGCTGCTGCGACGGCTGGGCCGGCACCCGCGGACCGGCAGAGGAAGGACGACCGTCGGCAGAGCACTGAACAGCAGCACCCCCAGAACCAACACCCCCAGAGCAAGAACCCCCTCCAACACCAGCGGCACCCCCAGGAGGTGCAGGACGAACACCCTCCTCAATGCCAGCACCCCCAGGGGCCAAGAGCGGCGGCGGCAGCGGCAGCAACGGTAGCGGCGGCGGCGGCGGCGGCTGCGGCGGAGGCGGCGACTGTGACAGGGGAGGCGAAGACACTGGGGAAGGGGGACGCGGCAAGGGCGGGCCTGGGGGAGCACCAGAGTCAGCGGACTCCTCAACGGGGACAACCGACGGGAGGGGAGTGACGTGAGAGACACCAGACGGGATAGGGCGAGGCGGGAGAGGAGCAGGGGCTACCGGGGGAGAGGGAGCAAGGAACAGAGGCGGGGTAACTGAGAGACCTCGGTGAGGGAAGCGGCGGTAGAAGGAGACAGACTCGTCAAAGGTGACGTCACGAGAGTGGAGGAAGCGGTGAGACGGCGGGTGGTAGAAAAGCCACTCAGACGAGTCCAGAGGGAAACCAAGGAAGACACAGGGGACAGTGCGGGCAGTGAGCTTGTCCGTGCCAGAGGCACGAACGTGAGCAAGGCAGCCCCAGACGTGGAACGCAGACGCGTCACCAGGGGACCCGGTCCAAAGGAGGGTCGGCGAAACCTCTCGCCGCTGGGACCGTGGCCACAAGTTAAGCTGGTGAGCAGCGTAGCGAACAGCGAACGGCCACAGAAAATGGGGGGCATCGGCATGAATCATGGAGATACGTGCAACCTCCGTGACCAGGCCGATGCGGCGCTCAGCAACCCCATTCTGCTGTGGCGAGTCCGGCAAGGTGTACGACTCGATGATGCCCTCCGCACGATAGAACCATCCAAGCCGACCAGAGGCGAACTCGCCGCCATGGTCAGAGTGGAGACACAACACGGGGAGACCGCGGTGAAGACGCGCAGCCACAACCCACGGTAGAAGGACGTCGGGCACGTCGGCCTTCGGCTCCAGGGGAAACACCGTGGTGTAGCGCGTGTAGTCGTCGACGAGCACAAGAAAGTAGCGCTCACCGCGCGGTCCGGGGACGCGGGCAGGGCCCCAGACGTCCAGGTGCAGGGTCTGAAGGGGGGCAATAGCAGGGCGCAGAGAGGAGGAGTGAGGAGCACGGCGGAGCCGGCCCTTGACACAAGGCGTGCACGGTGGCGCAGTCGAGGGGGGAAGGGCAGGGAGCGACGCGGGGAGGCCTAAGACAAGACCGTGCTGAGACATGTGACGCAGACGTGGGAGAGCAGGGTGACCTAAGCGGTGGTGCCACAGAAGGGACGGGTGAGTGAGGGACCGACACGAGCATGTGGCAGCGACCTGGGAGGACGCACCAACCGGGGGGGAAGCGGTGTCAAGGGTGAACAGACCGGACACCGGGTCCCGGGGGAACGTGGCAAGGGGGGAACCTGAGACAGCCTCAGAACAAACAGCAAACCGCTCGTGCCCGGGGAACGTAGTGGTGACGCCGAGGTCCTCGAGATAGCCGACACCAACCAGGTTCCTCGAGAACGAGGGAACGTGGAGGCCTGTAAGGGAGCCCGAGGGGACTGCTGGACAGGGAAGGGACGTGGAACTGCGAGCGATGACAGGACCCACAGAGGGGTCAGCGAGAGAGACAACAGCAGGCGCAGCAAGCGGCGTGAGCGTGGAACAGTCGCGGAAGAAGCAGGCAGAAGCACCGGGGTCGAGAGTGAAGGACAGCGAAGCAGTGGCGGAGGCCGGGAACGGAGCCGGTGCAGAGACTAGGCTAGGCAAACTAGGCAGTCCTACGCCTGACGCAGCAGGGGAGGCTAAGCTACACAATGGTGCAACACCTAAACTAGAGTACACGGGGTAATAAGATCCAGCAACACTAGAAGCGTCAGAATACAAAGCATGCAAAGCAGCACCTATCTGATCCATGTCTAACTCAAAGATCGGCACGCCCTGGCGGAGCGGGCTGTGCCAGTCGGGGAGGTCCGGGGCCGGGCCAAAGCGACGACGAAAGAGATCGTCGAGGCGGCGGAAACAGCGGGCGGTCAGGTGCGGGCGGCGGCACAGAGTGCCGCGGAGAGGCCCGATCTGAAGCTGGTACTGGCAAGTCATAGCACCGGAGCCGCCGGTAGACGCCGAGCTGCGCGGGCCGCCACCACGGGCACTACCTCCGGAGGTATCGGGAGACGGGCCCACGGCTGCGGCGGCTGCTGCTGGGACGGCGGCTGCTGCTGGGGCTGCTCCTGCGGGGGAGGGGACTGCGTCTGCTCCTGCCCACCTGTGATAGTCCTCGCAGGCGGACTACCTTCACCACCACCACTCCCACCACCCCCAGCGCCACCACCACGGCCTCCCTGGCGGCCACGGCCACCGCGACGCGAGCGCTGCTGCGGGTGGACCGCAGCAGCAGTCTTGGCAAGGGGGGTCGCAGAGGCGACCGCAGCCGAAACGTCAGTAAACGGGCACTGGGAGGGGGAACAGCCGTGAAAGATAGAGACTGCCGGCGCACCGCTCGACTGAGCGATAGTGCGTTGGCGAGTCTCGATCTCGGTGAGGGTGTCGACAAAGGCTATCAGAGTGAGGTCCCCGGGGTGCTGGCTAAGGAAGTGGTCGCGAGCACTAGCTAGGCGGTCCGGCAGGCGCATGGCGATAAAATAGAGCGTCATGCAGAAGGGGGGGGGGAGCGCAGTGAGCTGGGCAGCAGTGCTGGCAGTGCGATAGCGGGTCTCTAGGGCACGCAAGTGAGTGGCAAAGTCTGCGACAGTAGGGAAGGCAGCAAGGTCTGGGAACAGCATCGGGAAGAGCAAGCAGCCGGCAGAGACAGAGGCAGGTATGGAATAGCGAGCAATAACGACGTCTAAATAAGCTTTGGCCGTAGCAACCGTAGCGAAACGCGAGCGCTCAGACATAGGGAGGGCGTGACTAATAGCAACCTGAGCTACTGCATCGCGTGAGTCCCAGACCGCACAGGCAAGCGCAGCAGTAGAGAAGGCCTCACGGTCATCAGAGGAGGGGTCAGCAGGGAGGGGAGCAGGCGCAGGGGGGCGGGGGAGCAAGCCATCGACATGGACAACCAAAGAGTGGCCATCCTGGCGCTGACCTGTAAGGTGGCGGCGGAGATCGGAGAGCCAGGCGGCGAAGTCAACCGCGTGGCCCTCGGCGTCCAGTCGGAGCACGAACTCAGCCATCGTACAGGGTCAGCGGCACAGCTCCACAGCGACACAGTAGCACAGCTCCACTGCTCCGCAGGAGCACAGCTACGCGAGGACACGACGGCAGCACTCCCCAGCCGGGCGGCCGCGAGGCGCCCCAGTGCGAGCGAGCAGAGGAGACGGGGTCCGAGGTGACACGGCAGGCCGAGCAGTCACGAGGAGGGACCGGGAGGGCAGGAGGAGGGGCCGGGCTGGCGCTGGAAGTCGGAGAGGCGCAGCGGAGCCGGGCGGGTGCTAGGAGCCTGGCGGGCGCAAAAGGGCCAGGCGGCACTAGGAAGGGGCCGGGCCAGCGCTAGAAGAGGCCAGGAGGGCGCTAGGAGGGGCCGAGCGAGCGCTAGGAGGGGCCGAGCGGGCGCTAGGAGGGGCTGGGCGGGCACTAGGAGGGGCCGGCGCGGTCACGAGGAGGGGCCGGCGCGCGCAATAGGCCGGGCGGGCGTGGTGGGGCCAGGCGGGCGCGAGAGGGCCAGGCAGGCACGGAGGGGCCAGGTGAGGGCGACGAGACCAGGCAGGAGTGGTGGGGCCAGGCAAGCGCGGCGGGGCCAGGCAGGAGCGGTGGGGCCAGGCAGGCACGGAGGGGCCAGGCGAGCGCGACGGGGCCAGGTAGGGCGCAACGGGGCCAGGCAGGGCGCGACGGGGCCTAGCAGGCGCGACGGGGCCTAGCGGGCGCACAGGGGCCAGGCGGGGCGCGACGGGGCCTAGCGGGCGCGACGGGGCCTGGAGGGGCGCGACGGGGCCTAGCGGGCGCGACAGGGCCTGGCGGGCGCGACGGGGCTAGGTAGGGCGCGACGGGGCCAGGAAGGGCGCGACGGGGCCAGGGAGGGCGCGACGGGGCAATGGAGGGCGCGACGAGGCCAGGCAGGGCGCGACGGGGCCTCGCGGGCGCAAAGGGGCCAGGAGGGCGCTAAGGGGCGGGCGGTTGCTAAGGGCCGAGCCTGGCTAGGTAGGTAGGGCGGGCGAGAGGCTAGGGCGCGGGCGGAAGCGGTTGGGTGGACCTAACCTACTCGATACCATGTTCGAATACGTTGATGATTGACTAGAAGGGAGAACAGGAAACATATAGCAGTAGGGTTGTACTCACTAGGAGCACACACCGATACTAGCCTATAATTTCTACATGCCTAACATGTATATAAGTTGACAGTAGTTACCCTTGGAAAAAACAAACCCAGCCGCAAGAGTATGCTCTAATTCTAGCCAAATTCCTTGTTTGACTTTCAGATGGTAAGTCCTACGTCATCTCCTACTGTATCATCCGCCACTTCTCCGATAGCGAATGCACGAGGCTCCTGGAAGCAAGCAATGCCCCACTATGTCCCTCGGACCACTCGCTCTTCCCAAACATGTCCGAGCTGTTTCCCTCGCCACCCATGGCCCTCCCCTCCATGTGTAGGCTAGATTCCTCCATGGAGGAGTTGCCGTGGGCGGCGCAGTGGAGCTGGAGGAGGCGGTGCAGGCGGCGCGCGACGCCCTTCATGTGGGGGCGGCGGGAGGCGGGCATCTTGAGGCAGTCGAGAGCGATGTCTGCCAGCTCCACCACCGCCTCGTCCGGCGCCTCCAGACTCGCGTCCTTCAGCGCGCCCAGCTCGTACCCCTGCACCTTCTTAGCGGCCTACACAAGGAGTGATTGGGGGGGGATCGTGGCATCAGGCAAATGGGATAAACTGCATCGTTTCGCGCCTGTCGGGAAAGAACGGCGGCTTTACGGTAGGGCGCAACTGGGATGATCACAAATTCTTGCCCTATGGGAGCAGTGACTGGACAATTCAACACACCACCTAAACACAGTCAATAAGAAAAATGACTTCAAACATGCTATCAGAGTGGTCTTGGATTCAATTTCCACAATCATTCACTCTGAGCTAGACATGATCAAAACGCGATTGCGATTTAAATCGCATCGCATGCAAGTGCGATGTTTAAAAAAGCGATGCGATTTTAAATCGCAATCGCGCGATTTATTTTTCCAAAAAAAAAATCGCACATCGTATTTTACCCGCGATGTAATAAAAAATCGCATGCGATATTTAATTAAATCGCAAAATGCGATTTTAAATCGCATCGCATTTTAAAACAGAATTAAAAGGCACCCCAAAAAAACATTTAAAAAAAACCATGGCTGCGGGGAAATTGACTCACGGGCAGTCGTAAGCTAGAGTGCAAATAACCAGTGTCGTTTCGTAGTGGGTTTCAGAGTGGGTTTCAGTGCAATATCGCGCGCGATTTTAAAAAAATCGCATATCGCATGTAAATCGCGTTTTTTAAGCGCAATTAAAATGCGATTTAAATTAAATCGCGCGATGATTAAAAAAAAAAAAAAAAAAAAAAAAAAAAAAAACATCGCCATCGCAAAAACGCGATTAAATGCGATGTGATGCGATTTTTTTTGCCCATGTCTACTCTGAGCTGGCCGTCCTCGAGTGCGTAAAGCGGTTCCAGGTTCTGTCAGGGGAGTTGAGGGTGCGCTAGCCCACCAATTCAAGTCAACATTTCGACCAAATAAGTAAGCGGAATGGAGTGGGGGATGAGGAGGATGAGAATGCAGGGTAAAGGAGGGGGGAAGTTGGGCAAGAACATCGACGGATGAGTGAGGGGAATGGACAAAGAATAATAGCACTTGAGAGAGAAGTGACAATGATGTACCAAAAAGGAGGGCATGACATTGCTTCGTGTACCATGCGGAACACACGTGTCACTCATGGCACTCACCCAGTCGCTGATATGGCTGTCTGTGCCCTCCACTGCCGGCTTTTGCTTTGTCAGCAGTTCAAGCAGCACCACGCCAAAGCTGATATGCCAGGGCGGTTCATAGGGGGTAAAGGAGGGGAGAGAAGGGGAAGGGAGGAGCCTTCTGCATTGTAAGCAGCTGAAGCAACACCACAGCAAAGCTGGGAACTGGGGGTTGTTTTGAAGGGTATGGAGGAAGGGAAGGCGAACATAATTGCTAGAGTGACGGCGTTAGGTTGCTGGCCTTGCCGATTTTACCAGACTGTGAATTTATTGTTGGTTACTGTGACAACAAGCTTGCCCACCTGTAGACGTCGCTCTTTTCCGAGACGATTTGGGTTCGGTTGTAATCAGGGTCCAGGTAGCCCGGGGTGCCAGCCACTCGAGTGCGGTCATGGCCGCCGTCTGCATGGCTGAGCAGCTTGAGCAGCCCAAAGTCGGCAATCTTGGCCTGGTTGTGCTCCCCCACGAGGATGTTGCCAGGCTTGAGGTCGCGGTGCACGATGGGTGTCGCGAAGCTGTGCAAATAGGCCACTCCCTCCGCTGCACCCACCGCCAGCTGCACCCGCTGCTGCAGGGACAGGGGGGCTGGGGGGGGGGGGAGGAGGGGATCGGAGAGAGTTGGGTGTGACTACATATTTCGCTGCACATTTCTTTAGTGAGTTAGCGCATCCATAGCACCCAATGCCCAACACCTCTTCCCCGAAATCCCTGAGCCAACCCCAGTGCCTCTTTCCAGCACCCGCCTGCATGAGCACTGAGATCTGAACACTAGCCTGCTCTGATACCACGTCAAATGACAAGATTGACCATACCTTTGGAGTCATGGATGTGGTACTTGAGGTCCCCGTTGCCCACAAACTCGTACACGAGGATCTGCTCCTGCTGGCTGCTCTCCATGTTCTGATGCAGGCAGAAGCCCAGCAGCCGCACCACATTCTCATGCCGCAGCGACGCCATCGCTCGCACCTGGCGGTGGGGGGGTTGGAGAGAGGAGGAGAGAAGAAATGGCAGGGAGTGCACAAAGATATAATACCCAAAACACAAGCTGCATTTCGCTCACAGACTTGATTTGCGGCTGTGGATAAAGAGAGTGTTCCAACTCACCTCGGTCTCGAAGTCGTTTGACATGAGCTTGCTGCGCTTGACGGCCCACAGCTCGCCCTTGCTGGACACCCCCTTGTACACCGTGGCAAAGCCGCCCTTCCCCACCACATTGCCGCTCGCCCAGTTGTCCGTTGCCCGCAGAATCTCGCCAATGCTGAACTCCTGACACACGTCCAGGCCGCTCCACCTCCCTGCCGCAAGAAATGGCCGGCCAAAAGAGTCAGCGCATATAGCTCAAAGGCTTCGCACATCCACTAGATTCTGCGTGAAAGGAGGGCCTGGTGGAGGGAAATGATGTGCGGGCTTACTGCGTTGCTTGGGCCAGAGCAGCGCCACAACGAGGGCGAGGAGGAGAGCAAAGGCGGCAGCAGAGCCCACAGCGATGCCCACCACTGCACCTGTGGAGAGCGCTGGAGAGGATGGGGGAAGGCGGGAGGGGGGGAGGAGGGTGGGAAGAAGGTGAAGGGTCTGGAGAGGGGTGGTCTGCCACCATCAAGGCTCAAACCAATGGCTTGCCCTCCGTTTAACCATTTGCCACATCGAATTGTCTAAAAAAAAACCTCTATAGGTTGCGTTTTGAGATTTGCTGTTTCAGTTGATAATAGCTTCGCTTGCTCCACTGACTCCTTTGTTTCTCTTGGCGCCCCATAACTTCCCAGAGGTCCATTACGTAATTATCTGTTGGCTACGTACCATAGGTCTAATCATTCACAAAGTCTGTACAAACCATGCGTTTCATAGATATCCACAAGGTGAAAAAAAAACGATTTTTTTTTTCATTTTTTTCTCGTCTGGTATGGTACCGGATTACACGGCCGTATAATACGAAAAAAACGGATGACATTTTCTCCCTTTTAATTGGTGCAGAAATTCGGCCGGGTTTTTATTAAAAATGCCCGCCAATATGCGCGGATCTGGCATTTCGCCCACCGAGATGCGCGGATCTCGCGTTTCAGCAGACGTAATGTGCGGATCTGGAAGACATTAAGGCTTTAACCAAAAATAGAAACCTTTTTGAAAAGCTCTTTTGAAATGTTAGCGTTTTCCCCCAAATTCGCCAGAAAAAATGATCGAAAAAACAATTAAAAATCAAAACGGCCTGCCGGATTTTTGCACCTTGGATATCCATACGTGTGGGCATAATCATGGGTCAAGTACCAAGAACACTTGACTCAGACTCTGAAACAAACCAACGTTTGATCTCCTTAGCAAACGAAATCATCAAGCCCCTATCTCCTCCCACTGTTTCACTAGCATCATTCCCAACCCAAACCCAGCGCTGAAGATGAGACCACAATCTTGTCTCCAAACCTTGCCTCTCTTTCTCCCATGAGCATTACAACATACATGCCCATATGGGCTCTTGGAGAGTTTAACAGGAAATGAACTAGACACCTGAATCACATATACCTGTTTCTAGCCATCCACACAGCATACCTGCTGGGGGGGATGGAGAAGGGCGGGCGCAGGTGGAGCCGAGGGAGCCATTGGCAGTGACGTATCCGTGGTCACACTCACACCTGAACCCCGCCCCTGCTGCCCCCGCCTGCGGTGGCACACACGCTCCATGCCCGTCGCACGGCCCCAGCTCCCGCGACATGCTGCAGAATGCCAGGCATGCGTCATTCGTCCGCTGGGTTTCATTCGTCGTGCATTCCAACTCCCGCTTCAGTGTGAAGCAGTTCTGGCGGAGGCTTGCCTCGCCTCGCTTGTTGGTAATTGAAGTTATTTCAGTTATAAAACCTTGCATGAAACGGAGTCCACAGCGACTCCCCCCAGGATAGTTGAGCTCAGATATGCCCAAGACGTGAGACTGCGTGATGTTAGAGGGGCAGAACTGGCAGCCATCGGCGTAGAGCATGGGGTCGCCGTAGAAGTAGTTGCCTGCAATGTTGAGCAGAGCGTTGTTGTTGGGAATCATGCTGCGGAAGTTGATGTTGATGGGGCCATAGAAGCTGTTGTTGCTGATGTCACTGGGGGGAGCGGAAATGAGGGGAAATGAAAACAAGAGACAATGGGTATGACATGAACAATCTGTGTCCTTGGTTGCCATGTTTCTCATCGTAATAGATTTATATGTGCTCTGCTTGTAAGGCAGTTGTATGTTGATCCCACAACTAACAGTCGCTTAAGAATCCTTTGCAACGAAATCTATTCAATAACTTGAACTTCCAAAGGATGCCCCACAATGGTTCTCGTGAAGGAAATAGCTTGGAAGAGAAAAGATTGATTGAGTAGGGAGCCAAGAGGCTCTTTTGTACAAAACAAGGAGCAAGGAAGAGTTGGAAGGGAAGCTCTCCTATTGGCCGTAAAGTGGACCAATGGGAGAGGTTGCTTGTAGGGCAAGCAACCACAAAGTGTGGTGCTCTCTGATTGGCCACAATGTGGACCAATGAGAGAGATTGCTTGGAAGGCAAGCAACCACAAAGTGTGGTGCTTGGTGATTGGTTGGTTCCTAGGACCAAGGACCATTTGGTTGGAATAGTGCCAACCAAATGTCTAGGACCAAATCCAATCTTGACCAACCCAAATGTGGGGTTGGTCAACCCAACCAACAACCCCCCAATATTTATAATGACTACACCTCCTAATCTAGGCATGCATGTTGTATAGATATATATTTTACAACACAACCCCCCAACATGCATAAGACTAGAGGGCTTGAATCAGGAGGTGGACGAGGGAACAGGGGGAGCGAGTCCAAGAAGGCGAAGGAGGGATGAGTGGGCGGCGTGGGGGAGGGCTTTGGTTAAGATGTCGGCAAGATTGGCAGCAGAGTCAATCTTGCCCAGTTGGAGGTGGCCACCCTGCACAAGCTCGCGAATGAAGTAGTGGCGAAGCTCAATGTGCTTGGAGCGCCCGTGGAACACGGCATCCTTCGTGAGGTGGATGGTGCTGGCGTTGTCGCACCAGATGGTGGGACAGCGCTGAGGGGCACCAAGCTCCTCAAGAAGGAAGGAGAGCCAGCGGGCCTCCTACGCAGCCATGGTAGCGGCATACAGCTCCGCTTCGCAAGAGGAGAGGGCAATGGAGGAGGAGCGGGTGGAGCGCCAGCTGATGAGGCCACTGCCAAGAGAGAAGCCATAGCCCTGAGAGCTGCGGTCAGGCCTAGAGTCAGCCCAGGAGGAATCAGAGTAGCCAGTGAGGAGGGGAGGGGAGGGGCCGCCAAGGGTAAGGACGTAGTCCTTGGTCCCCCGAAGGTAGCGGAGGACACGCTTTGCCGCTTGCCAATGGGCGGCATCATGCTTGCCGGTACCAACGAAGCGGGCCAAAACGCTGACGGGGTATGCCAGGTCAGGGCGGGTGGAGACCATGGGATACATGAGAGAGCCGATGAGCTCAGCGTAGGGGTGGGAGGAGGAGGAGGGGGAGGTGAGGGGAGTGAGGTGGTGCCCAACAGGAAGAGGGGTGACCTGAGGGGTGCCTCGAGCCATGTCGAACCGCTCCAGGACCTGCTGCAGGTAGTGGCCGTGGGAGAGGGAGATGGTGCGAGCAGCACGGTCGCGGGTAATCTCCATGCCGAGATAGTGCTGCAGCTCCCCTAGATCCTTACACTTGAGCCGGCCGCCAAGCTCACGCTTGACGCGCTCGAGCTCGGCGGAGTCGGCAGTGATGAGGATCATATCGTCGACATAGACGAGGATGTAGAAGGGGGAGGGGGAGGTGCGGAGGAAGAGGCTGGGGTCGACGCGGGAGGTGCTGAAGCCAAGCTCGGCGAGGGTGGCAGCAAGCTTGGCATGCCACTCCCTTGGTGCCTGCTTGAGCCCATAGATTGGTCGACGCAGCTGCCAGACAGAGTCGGAAGGAAAGGGGAGGTGGAAGCCTGCAGGACGCTCCATGTAAATGAGCTCGCGCAAGACCCCTTGGAGGAATGCGTTGGAGACGTCCATGGAGTGAATCTCCATGTTGAGGCGAGCTGCGAGGTCGAGGACTGCGCGAATGGTAGCGGGCTTGGCGGTGGGAGAGAAGGTGTCGAAGAAGTCGACAGCGTAGCGCTGGGTGAAGCCCTTGGCGACGTAGCGGGCCTTGTAGACCGGCGGCTCGCCAGGAAGCTGCTTCACCCGAAACACCCACTTCCCTTTGACCACGTTCATGGTAGAGGGAGGGCGGGGCACATCCACAAAGGAGGAGTTGGCAATAAACGCCTCCAACTCCTTGAGGATGGCCGCGAGCCAGAGGTGAGCGTCAGGGCACGCCATGGCCTCCTCGTACGTGGCGGGGACGAAGATGGTGGGGGCGGAGGAGAAGGCGAAGACTGGTGTGCCGCTGAGGTCAGGGGAGATGGGTAGGAGGGCTGGATCATGCAGGTGGAGGTTGAGGAACTCCTCATGGGAGTCCTCGAGGAGGGAGGAGTGGAAAATGAATGGGAGGACTGCAGCTGCTGCGGCTGCTGCTGCTGAGGATGCATCTGCTGCTGCTGCTGCTGAGGCGGCTGCTACTGCTGCATCTGCTGCCGCCGCTGCTGCTGCTGCGGGTGAAGGCGAGGAAGGAGCGACGGCTGCTGCTGCTGCTGGTGCTGCTGCTGGTGCTGCTGCGGTGGGTGGAACTGCTGCTGCAGCTGTTGCTGCTGCTGTTGGGACTACTGTACTGGAGCTCGACGGCAGGGTTGGGCTAGTGTTTTGTTGTAAGACTGTCTGTAAAAGGAGGTCCATGAGAGGGGAGAGAGGAGGCAAGGTAGAGGAAGAGAGGATAACAGGAGGCGGGGCACCGAGGACTGCGTCACGCGACCTGGTGTGGGGATACCGGGTGAGGATGGAGCGGGAGGGACGCAGGGGGGGAGGGGGTCGCGGGGGAGAGGGGGGAGGAGGGGAGGGGGGAGGATGGGAGGGAGCGGAGGGGGAGGAGTGGGACGGGGAGGCGGGGGGAAAAAAAGGGTCAGGGTCAAATATGTCACCAGAGGAGGGGGGAGCACTAGGGACCGAGGCAACGGGGAATGGAGGAGGTGGAGCGGGGGGGAGGATGGGAGGGGGAGGGAGAAGAGGGGGTGGGATAGTGTCGGACCACATGAGGGGCCTGGGAGCAGGGGCGAGAGGGTCAGTGGGGGGAGGAGTGGAATAGTAGGGTGTGGACTCATCAAAGACTACATCCCGACTGCGGAGGAAACGACCTGAGGGGGGGTGAAGGAAGAGGTAGTCCGGGGAGGAGGGATTGTGACCAAGGAAGATGCAGGGGAGGGTACGGGAGGCGAGCTTTCCCATGGTGCGGGGGCGGTCCGCACGGTGAATGAGGACATACGCCCTGGAGCCCCACACACGGAGGGAGGAGACGTCAGGCTTGGCCGACGTCCAGAGCTCGGTGGGAGTGGTGGAGGGAAGAATAGGGTGGGGGTATAGGTTAGTAAGGAGGGTGGCGTGAAGGAGGGCATAGCCCTAGAGAGAAGGGGGGCAAGAGGCATGGACGAGGAGACACGGAGCAATCTTGGTGATCTCCCGAACACGGCTCTCGGCCACACCATTCTGCTGGGGGGAGTGGGGGAGGGTGTGAGTCTGGCGAATGCCATGAAGCTCACAGTAGGAGGCTACCTGTCGATTAAGGAATTCGCAACCGCTATCAGAGTGAAGGCGGCGTACAGGGCGGCCAAAGTGCTCGCCTGCTTGAGCCAGGCGATGATCGCAGCCGGAGCGTCACCCTTCGAGCGAAGAAGGGAGACGGACGAATATCGGCTGTGATCATCGACCAGAACAAGCATGTAGCGATGGCCCTGGCGGGAAGGGGAGGGGTTGGGGCCCCAGAGGTCCATGTGAACAAGATCAAGCGGCTGAGCCGCAGCGGAGGGGGAACTCCGATGCGGCAGCTGCTTGAGCTTGCTCTGGACACAGACGGAGCAGGGAGGGGCAAGGGAGGGAGGGAGGGGAGGGAGGGTGAGGGGAAGACCTCGAAGGAGACCTGAGGAGACGGTCGAGCGGAGGGTGGCAAAGTTGGGGTGACCAAGCCTGTGGTGGAGGAGGACGGTGGGATGGGAGAGGGATCGACAGGAGCAGGTTGGGTCAGGGGGGAGGGGGGGAATGGTTGGGTTAGAAGGAGGGAGAGGAGGGGGAGGGATGTGAGGTGGGGGGAGGGAGCGGGAGACTGCCTGGGCAGAGGGAAGACGAGGAACACGAAGGGTATATAGGCGGGAGCGAGGACAAAAGGGAATACGGGAGAGGAGGCGACCTGTGGGATGGTATAGGAGGCAGTGATTAGCGCGACCTGAGAAGACGGTGGTGATACCAGCCTGCTGAAGGGATCGCTGGGAGAGGAGGTTAGTACGGAGTGAGGGGATGTGTAAACCAGTGACGGTACCTGAGGGGAAGAGGGGACAGGGGAGGGTAGAGGTGTGGCGACAGGGAATAGAGAAGCTGGAATCGGCACCAAGGAGGGAGGTGGGGGCTGGGAGGGGGTGAAGGGAACCAGCATCACGAAGGACGGACTCGGTGGCTCCACTGTCAAGGACAAAGTCCAGCGTGGTGGAGGGGGGAGGATGTGGGGGAGGAGGTGGGACGGAGTACTGAATCACATTCTCATTAATAGCAGCCGAATACATAGAAGGGGCGGGGGTTCCAGCCTGACTAACCATGCCAACAAAACCAGAGGAGGGGAAAGGAGTCACACTGCCTGTGGCTGAGAGCGCGGGAGACGCGCCCGAGAGGTGAGCTGCGGAAGCGGCGGTGCCGGCGGTCCAAGCGGGGTAGGGCTGCTGGGGGGGAGCCATAGGAGGAGGTGCAAGGGGGAGCTGCGACTGGAGGTCAAGCTGCTGTTGGAGCTGCTGCTGCAACTGGGAGAAGAGGTGCTGCTGCCCCTGCTGCTGCTGCTGCTGGAACTGCTGCTGCTGCTGCTGAAACGGCTGCGGCAGGATCTGCTGCGGAGTCTGCTGCTGCTGCTGTTGCTGAGAGACGGCCTGGTGGGCCAAGGGGGAGGAGACGGGCTGGAAAAGAGGGGAGGTACGAACCTCTTGAGGAGTGGGGCGAGGGGAGAGGGAGGACCAGCGGGGGGGGGGTGCCGGTGTTGCCGCGGGCAAACCACTCATCACTGAGCGCTTTGAAGCAAGAGTCAGTGGCATGAGTGGTCTGGCCGCATCGCTGACCCCGCGTGGGGCCATAGCGAGGGAGATACTGACAAGGAGGAAAGGCGGCTGCTGCACCACGTCCTGCGCCGTTGCCACCACGACCTGCACCACCACCACGACCAGCGCCACGCCCACCCCCGCGCCCTCCCCTGGTGTTGCGCTGCTGAGCAACAGCAGCAGTTGAGGAGGAATGGCGCAAGAGGTCGGCTTCGGTGGTGATAATCCACTGGGCGACTTCAGCTGGGGTGATGCGCTTGTCGATCAGCTGCATGTAGGCGATCTTATGGGTGTCGAAGGCAGGAGTCAAGCCTTCAAGGAGGTGGCAGCAGAGCACTGGGTCTGGGTACGGCACGCCAAGAGCCGCCAGACGCCGAGCAAGGTCGAGGACGCGACGCGTGAAGGCAGCTGCGCCGGTGGTAGAGTCCATGGTGAGGCTCTGGAACTCCTTGATGAGGGAGTAGAGGGTGGCAACGTCCTGCCGATCATAGAGATCGGTGAGGAGGCGCCAGAGGTGGGAGGAGGAAGTGGGAGCAAGCTCGCGCTTGAGGGTGGGAGGAATGGTGGCGAGGAGGACGGTGAGCGCGCGCCGGTCAGTGACACGCCAGGCGGCGAGGTCGGTGATGTATGCGCGCTCGCGCCTGACGTACTCCGCGAGCTCCGCCTGATACGTGTTGTAGGCGGCAGTGGCGGCGTCATGCTCGGCGCGGGAAGCCTCGAAGAGCAGCTGCTGGCGGACGTGGTCGGTGAGGCCGGCACGGTAGGTGCGAATGGCGGTCTCGGAGCTCTGAGGGTCGTTGACGTCAGGGGCGAAGGTTGGAGGATCGCCAGGGCTGACGGGAGCATCGCCAGGAGGAGGAGGTGCAGGGTCCGCGGGAGCAGTCGGCTGGGCAGGCTGAAGACCGCGCTCCTCCAGATGGACAACGGCTTTCAGGTTGTAGCCATTGACCGTCACCGAGGAGAGAAGCACCGTGACGGTTTGGGCATAGGAATGCCAATTGACCACGGTGTTGTCGGGCAGCAGCTCAAGAGCGTCGACGGAGGTAAGGTCCACCGAGGAATCGGACGCCATTGAGGAGGAGGAGGGGAAGGAAGGGGGGGGGGGGGGGGAGGAGGAGAAGGAAAGGAGGAGGAAAATGGAAAGGAGGAGGAGAAGGAAAGGAGGAGGAAAAGGAAAGGAGGAGGAGAAGGGGGAGGGAGGAGAAGGATAGGTGCGCGGAGCGCAGCTCTTAAGTCGCCGAAGGCAACTTAAACGAGCTGCGCGACGCGCTCCAAGGAGGGATGCGGCGACGGACGGCCGCGCGCGGTCGGCGGAAGCGACGACGGACAGCCGCACGCGACGGCGACGAAATCGGCGACGGCTGCGGCGGCGAGCACGTTCGCAATGGACGGATTCGTCGGCGGGTGCACGCGAGTGCCGCGACGAACAGGCGCGTGGTGCGAGAGCGCGACGAACGGGTGCGCGTAGTGGCGGAGGGCGCACGACGGGAGGACGCGACGACGAACCGCGCGAGGAGGATAAGGGCGTCGAAAGACGCGAGGGGAGGTGCGCAACGGAAGGGAGAGCGGGCGCGATAGGAGGCGCGCGACGGGAGAGAGAGTGTGCGCGATGGGAGATCGCGTCGGGAGAGGGCGCACGGACGGCGCGCGAAATAGCCTAAGAAGGGCTAGGCTTCGATGACGAGGAGGGACGGCATAGGGCCGTGCTAGTTAGGATCGACTAGAGGTGGCGTGAGCCATTGTGGCTCTGAATACCATGAAGGAAATAGCTTGGAAGAGAAAAGATTGATTGAGTAGGGAGCCAAGAGGCTCTTTTGTACAAAACAAGGAGCAAGGAAGAGTTGGAAGGGAAGCTCTCCTATTGGCCGTAAAGTGGACCAATGGGAGAGGTTGCTTGTAGGGCAAGCAACCAAAAAGTGTGGTGCTCTCTGATTGGCCACAATGTGGACCAATGAGAGAGATTGCTTGGAAGGCAAGCAACCACAAAGTGTGGTGCTTGGGGATTGGTTGGTTCCTAGGACCAAGGACCATTTGGTTGGAATAGTGCCAACCAAATGTCTAGGACCAAATCCAATCTTGACCAGCCCAAATGTGGGGTTGGTCAACCCAACCAACAACCCCCCAATATTTATAATGACTACACCTCCTAATCTAGGCATGCATGTTGTATAGATATATATTTTACAACATCTCGGGCAGCACGTAAGAACGTGTGGGAGGAACTGGGACCCTCATTTACAAAAAGAAATAAGAAAAGGTGTGCTATGCGTCAATGACTCTCACATTCGGTGTAGGCAACTCTCATAGAGGCAGGCCGGAAACCTTCCGTAGAAGTAGTTGTTATGGAGAAACCTGAAAGCAAGAGCAATGCAAGTGGGTGTTCCATAAAGAGACAGCAATGAGCAAAAAGGTGAAAATACCAAGCACGTTTCAGACGGGAAGTGTTTATACAAAGTGAAACAGTATTGCCAGAGCCTATGTTGGGAGCTTGGCTTAGGGTGGACATGAGCAAAGGGACGAACAGGCTCGGGCTGACCGGCCCAAAAATTCAGCCCGTCGGGCTGGGTCGGCTCTCGGCTGATCCCGGCATGTCGTCGACATGCGTGGCCCGAGCCACACAGTTAAAAAAAAAAGACTTCTACTTTCATATGAATCGGGGGGCGGAACACCATAACCGAGCCTTGCACTTGAGTGTGACTATAGGGCGGGGCCCGAAGACCGGCCCGTCCGTTGCTCATCTAGATTAGGGCAAAGACATGGTAAGGAAGGACAGACGGAGATCTATTTTTGAGGCGCCTCAAAAATAGACTCCTCTCGCATGGTAAAGGACAGACGGAAATTCCGACACAATTTCACGTGCTCCATTTACCATCCCAACTTCCCATAAGCTCCATGTTCTCGGAAGCAAAGTGCACACGACTCTAAAAGTACGGCTCGCGATGTTAACTGATCTGGAAGCAAGTATGTTGTGTACAAGAATTGATTGGCATGATGGGGCCTTGGCGGGGGGATTTTTGTATATAAATATTGAACAGGTTGAGGAGGCAGTACATGGTCTGCAAGTTGGTGAGGTCGCATATGGAAGCAGGGAGCATGCCCGTGAGCTGGTTGTCATACACAGACCTGTTAGCATGGATGGAGCAGCAATCGATGTGGGTACGGGGAGTGAGCGAGAAAGCGGAAACATTCGGCGCAGGTTAGACAACACATGTGGCGAGGCCCAGCCGTTTCTGAAGGGGAGAACTTCCATGAGGCTGGCATGGCCATGTGGCCATTCAACTCTAACCAGCTGGGATGGGAACCAAAGTGGGGAAAACATATATGCACCTTGGTATCATGGCATCAGCATGGTATGTACGGCAAGATATGAGGCACGAGGGCTTCCAAGTTTACAAGGTATGGAGGTTGAAGAGGGCACCTAGGCCAGAGGGTAACAATCCTGAAATGTTGTTGGAAGCAAGGTCCCTGATGGGAGTGCATGATGGGGGTGCATGGTGGGAGTGCATGATGGGGGTGCATGATGGGAGTGCATGATGGGAGTGCATGATGGGGGTGCATGATGGGAGTGCATGATGGGAGTGCATGATGGGGGTGCATGATGGGAGTGCAAGATGGGGGTGCATGATGGGAGTGCATGATGGGGGTGCATGATGGGAGTGCATGATGGGAGTGCATGATGGGGGTGCATGATGGGGGTGCATGATGGGAGTGCATGATGGGAGTGCATGATGGGAGTGCACGATCGGAGTGCACGATCCGCATGCATGATGTGAGTGCATGATGGGGGTGCATGATGGGAGTGCATGATGGGGGTGCATGATGGGAGTGCATGATGGGGGTGCATGATGGGAGTGCATGATGGGAGTGCATGATGGGAGTGCATGATTGGGGTGCATGATGGAAGTGCATGATGGGGGTGCATCATGGGAGTGCATGATGGGAGTGCATGATGGGGGTGCATGATGGGAGTGCAAGATGGGGGTGCATGATGGGAGTGCATGATGGGAGTGCATGATGGGGGTGCATGATGGGAGTGCATGATGGGGGTGCATGATGGGGATGCATGATGGCAGTGCATGATGGGGGTGCATGATGGGAGTGCATGATGGGAGTGCATGATGGGGGTGCATGATGGGGGTGCATGATGGGAGGGCATGATGGGGGTGCATGATGGGAGTGCATGATGGGAGTGCATGATGGGAGTGCATGATGGGAGTGCATGATGGGAGTGCATAATGGGGGTGCATGATGGGAGTGCATGATGGTAGTGCATGATGGGGGTGCATGATGGGAGTGCATGATGGGAGTGCATTATGGGGGTGCATGATGGGGGTGCATGATGGGAGTGCATGATGGGAGTGCATGATGGGAGTTCATGATGGGAGTGCATGATGGGGGTGCATGATGGGAGTGCATGATGGGAGTGCATGATGGGGGTGCATGATGGGAGTGCATGATGGGAGTGCATTATGGGGGTGCATGATGGGGGTGCATGATGGGAGTGCATTATGGGGGTGCATGATGGGAGTGCATGATGGGAGTGCATGATGGGAGTGCATGATGGGAGTGCATGGTGGGGGTGCATGATGGGAGTGCATGATGGGAGTGCATGATGGGAGTGCATGATGGGAGTGCATGATGGGATGGGAGTGCATGATGGGATGGGAGTGCATGATGGGGGTGCATGATGGGAGTGCATGATGGGGGTGCATGATGGGAGTGCATGATGGGAGTGCATGATGGGAGTGCATGATGGGAGTGCATGATGGGAGTGCATGATGGGGGTGCATGATGGGAGTGCAAGATGGGGGTGCATGATGGGAGTGCATGATGGGAGTGCATGATGGGGGTGCATGATGGGAGTGCATGATGGGAGTGCATGATGGGGGTGCATGATGGGAGTGCATGATGGGGGTGCATCATGGGAGTGCATGATGGGAGTGCATCATCGGGGTGCATGATGGGAGTGCATGATGGGGGTGCATGATGGGAGTGCATGATGGGAGTGCATGATGGGGGTGCATGATGGGAGTGCATGATGGGGGTGCATGATGGGGATGCATGATGGCAGTGCATGATGGGGGTGCATGATGGGAGTGCATGATGGGAGTGCATGATGGGAGTGCATGATGGGAGTGCATGATGGGGGTGCATGATGGGAGTGCATGATGGGGGTGCATGATGGGAGTGCATGATGCTGGTGCATGATGGGAGTGCATGATGGGAGTGCATGATGGGAGTGCATGATGGGAGTGCATGATGGGGGTGCATGATGGGAGTGCATGATGGGGGTGCTTGATGGGAGTGCATGATGGGAGTGCATGATAAGGGTGCATGATGGGAGTGCATGATGGGGGTGCATGATGGGAGTGCATGATGGGGGTGCATGATGGAAGTGCATGATGGGGGTGCATGATGGGAGTGCATGATGGGGGTGCATGATGGGAGTGCATGATGGGGGTGCATGATGGGAGTGCATGATGGGGGTGCATGATGGGAGTGCATGATGGGAGTGCATGATGGGAGTGCATGATTGGGGTGCAGGATGGGGGTGCATGATGGGAGTGCATGATGGGAGTGCGTGGATGATAAGCACATTAGAAGTGGGTGATTTTCAGAAGAGACAACAACAGTGCCAGCCAAGAGGGCAAGACATTGGCAGACCAAAACGGAGCTAAGGGCGAATGCACAGACTGGTCATGCGAGATGAGATGAAGCAGATCAACAAGAAACCTCACAGAGGGACATGTGCTGATGAGGGAGACGCGCGTGCAAGCAAAGCAACGGTTGATTACATGGATTCAAGGTTGGTCAAGGTCAGCAGAGCCGTTGGGATGGAACCTGAGAGCTGATTGCCGCGCAACGAGCTGCAGGGATGATTGAAACGGAAGCGGACGGACATGAAAGATGAGAGAACATAAAGGAGCTGCTATGGCTCCATCCATTCTAGTAGTAATCTCTAGATAGGAGATATATTTTTGTTGACTCCATGTCACATAGAGGCCCCTCCTGGATAGCATTGAAGTTGAGAGACGCGAAGGGTTCAATCATTGAGAGGTGGCGGTGGGGATGTCAGCAGTTCTCCCGTCATCAGAGGCAACCCTTTGACGGGTGGTATGGCCGTCAGAGTTAAGGGTTCCCAGAAACAAAGCTCCATCTCTACCCCATGCTCAAGCAGTGCTTGCCACGATTACCACAGAGAAGCACTTAAGCACAAGCCACAGAATGCTCACAAGGCGCCTAGAGAAGTGAGAGCGCTGACGGACTCTACAATGGTCCCTGTGAAGTTGTTGTCTCCTAGGAGCCTGTCCTCACAAACGGTCAGAAGGGGAAAAAAAAAAAGGAAAGACAGAATTGGGGGAAAACCATGATTTATTAAGATAAAAACTGCCAGTTCATGTTTCCACCATGGCAAAACTGATCATCCATGATTGGCTTACAAATTTTTCAAAGGAGCCTTCCAGTGGGAAAAATCAGGGAGAGAGCCTGAGAGCTCATTGCCTTGAAGGTTCCTGGCAGTCAGGCAAAGGCCAACAGACGAATTTGCGAAAGGCTCAACGGGCTCAATATAGGCAAAAAAAAGTACTGTATATCACTGAAATGCTTGCTGATGATCAGAGGTTCTTGATTTTCCATTGTAGTGCATGATGCAGCATACAAGATGTCGAGATTGGTGGATGTAAAACTTGGCAAGCTTCCAGTTAGATGGTTGTGTTCCAGATACCTGAAGGGCAAGCAATGCAGGTAGCAACCACAGCATAAACGGGACGGTAAGTTCAGAGAAGGGGTCTTTTTCAAGTGAGTGTTGTGAGCATTCACATGCAGGCCCAAGGAGTTGCTACTGTTGGGTGGATGCTACTCCATTTCTGCATCATCAGTGGCAAGAGAGATGCACAATATGCACACCTACACACGAATGAAGATCATGCACGAGGGACAACCGACATGGAATTGTAGTGGGTAGGATAAGAGGCGGCAGAAGACAGTGGAGGGGATGGAAGGAAGAAGGTGGGGAGGGCGATACTCACAGTTGATCTAAAGGAAGTGAAAGCAACGATGAAGGAATCACTCCATGGAAGTTGTTGTGGCCCAGTGTTCTGACCACACAAGAAAGCGGCAATGCAAGGTGATAAGACAGAGTGTCTGCACCGCACTGTCTTGTAACAAACAAGCAAAAAACTGAATAAGATTGTGTTGGGGTAGATTGTGTCTCAAATCGATCGTAGTGCACAAAACTCATTTCAATTGAACAACGAAGACACGGAAATCGAGACTGGATAAGCTTTGGAGTGTTAACAGTTTCTATATTGTTCTCATGGTTCAAAGTTCCAGAGCAGTTCAGTGCAATAAATCGTGGTTCACTGCCTCCCAAGTTTCTCGTGTCGCTCGGTTATCTCATGAGTATAGTATAGAGCACACGTGGCAAACGCCTAGAGTGATTCATTGTGTCGAGCCTCGCGAGAGCATGACCCTATGTGCCCTACTTTATCCCAGCATCAGGTCCCCAACGGGTAGGCGGCGCAGCCTAGACTTGCGCCTGCTTGAGGAGGACCCAGTACGAGTTGCACACTTTCTCCCCTTATGTCTCATATGTTGCGTATGGGCCACTGGGATGACCCCCCCAGAGATACTGGATGGGCTAAGGTTCCATCCTGGGGCTTAGTTACACTGGGATCATGCTTGTAAGGAACACGAATTCTGAGTTTCAGTTTCTGAAGTTGAAGTTGGGTGGTAAGGGAAGGGAGAATATACTTACAAAGTTAGGAGGTTTGCCATTTTTGTTATGTCACTGGGAATGGTCCCGTGGAAATTATTTTGGCTTAGGTCTCTGAAACCGAGGAGGACAACACGAAGGGAAGGGGGGTGCTCTTGGAAACATAAGAAGGTGCTGAAACAACAAGGAACTGGGTAGAGTGAAGGAACGAGAGCCTCTCAAGAGATCGCTTGAAAACGAAAGCAAGAGGTTGAAAGGGGCGATTACGAACAAGAAGGCCCGGGGTGAACAATAAATTTGGACGAGGCCTTTCAGATCATGACATGGAATGAAAATGAAACTCATCATTAAACTTGGGTCTAGAAATGTACCAGAAAAAGAAACAACACATACAGAAATTGGCAAGTCAAATTGCAAGCTTATGATCTAACCAACACACACGTTAGACTACCTCAAGTGAAGCTATTTACAGGAATATCAACGTGAAGGGAACAGCATCTAAGGTGGAAGCTACAAAACCAAGCCATTCCTCAGGTGAACTAATGAGCCGTTCGTGACCTGCATTGTCACGTGAAATAATCTGACCAATCACCAAAGTTGACTGGTCTCATCCATTATCTAGAAATTACCAAATAGCGTACTGAAATACATGATGACCCTCCAATACATGATGACCCTCCATGGCGTTTGAGGGTGTACATTTCGTAAAGGTTGGTGAGCTTCAGCAGAACAGTGGGGAATGGCCCTTGGAAATTGTTGCCTTGAAGAAAACTTAAAAAACAAGTACAGAGGAGTGATGGAAACAGAGAGGACTGTGGAAGTGGGGAAGCTTATGGTGGAGCTAAAGTGGCGACGGGAACAAGGTGCATGTTGCGAATCCCAGTGCAAGAATGCCTTTTGCGCATGGATTTGGACTAGAGTTTACGAGGATTGTGAAGTGGGCAAGCAAAGCAAGAACAGTGCAATCATGCTCCCATGAATATCAAAGCGGAGGAGCAACGCACACACTGTTGAGCAAAGCAAGGGAAGAGAAGCTTGAATAACCATCTGTGAAATTGTTGTAAGATGCATCCCTGCAGCACCACAAGGCAAACTCTGAGGCGACTTAGAAGGAGCAAGCTTGCAAAAGAACCATCACACAACGTCTCAGGGTCTATGACGCTGGCTCCTTATTATTGCATTATCATGCATATATCAGTTGTCTTGAGTAGGTATAGCCAACCTATGATATTTGGGGTGTACTAGGGTTAACCACTCTAGTTGGGGTTGGGTTCCAAAAACAATGGGTTCCCTCCTTGGCCATTATTGGCCTCCTAGGGTTGGGTCCTAAATTTAATGGGACCCCCAAAAATCCGGGCCAAGATTATTGGCCCCACCAACAACTTGGCCAACCCAAATCATTGATGTGGGATGGAGCCAACAATGTTGACATAGGACCCAACCAGCCCCTCCTCCCTCCTTCCCTCAACTATGTAACTCCTCTCGTTATCTCATCAAATCATCACTTCAACTATCACATATGATGCATCATGAGGGGACAGGTGGACAAACACCGGTCGATCACAATCCATTTGGGATGTCCCAGGTAGCAAGAAAAAAGGAGTTTGTTGTACTTCGCTTCATCTCTCAATGTGTTCTATTTTGTAAGAGCTCTGTTGTTGAGTATCTGTTTTAGGCTTTTATCTGGGATGTAGTCAACTTAGTACTTTTCTCTGTTATGTGTAATGTGTTACATTATATTAGGTGTAGACATTAGTGGTTGGGTTATATTAGGAATAGGGTGCCCCCCAAGTGATTTTATCAAAGGCTAGGCACCCCAAAATCCGAATTGGGGTACCTCACCACGCATCCCAACATTTGGGACGCGGCTCCAACCTGGACCCACGTTTCTCAACCATGAAAACGCGGCTCCAGCTTGTGGAACCACGAATCCAACTTGTGGAATCGCGGTTCCACTAGTGGGGGCGCTTCCAGGCCCACTTTGAGGGTTCCTCACGTCCCCACCTTGACTGTGGGCGACTTGAGCACCCAATTGGGCACCCCAAGTCTCTTGGGTGCCATTCTCCCCACCTGGACCAGCCCAAGTCGCCCAGCACTTCTCCATCTCTCTCTTCTTCACAATCTGGGCCTACTTAGCCCAATGTCTTTGTCATCTTTATTAACCTTTTTGTCTTACACTTTCTGGGACTCCTCTTGGAACCTCTCTTTACCATCTCCAACTTGTGCATCTTACAGCTATGCACATCGAGTCTACTTTTCTACAAGCTCGCTACTGATGTAACGTACAATCTTATAAGCCACGGCATCTTGCCAATCACGTCAAGACCCGAGCTTAGCTGGTTGGTCGAAATATTCCTGGAACATGCAAGCACACAAGGCACGAAACATGAGAAAACAAGCAGGGTAATGGAGGGTTTATGGAGGAGCAAAAGGAGCAAATGGAAGAATCAACAGAAAAAAATGGGCAGATGGAGGAAGGAAAGGTGTGGCAGAGTGGTGCAATGCGATAAAGCACGAATCAGTTCCAAGACATTGCATTCGCCCGTTGTAATGTTGATGTTTGCTACACTACTGATGCAAGACACGCCCGCCCGTACAAGAACATCAGATTGACGAGGTTTGTGAGGGAGTTCGGCACAGCCCCTGTGAAGCTGTTGGTAGAGAGGTCCCTAGAGGAATGGCAGGAGAGGCATGGGGGGAAAGGCAAGAGAAGCATGGGAGGAATGGCAGGAGCATGGGGGGAAAGGCAGGAGAGGCATGAGAGGTGCTTGTGACCAACCGCGCATGACCGTGACACACCCAAGTCAGCAAAGAAAAGCAGCACGGCTCGCAATGGTGGGGAATTACGCAGCAGCATGCACTCTACAGCTTTTGAATCTGCACCTACAAGTTTGTGAGGCCAGAGAGTGTGCCGAGGAAGGGTGGGATAAAGCCGGAGAAGTGATTTGCTGTCAGAACACTGAAATCGGAGTAGAGGGGGAGAACGAAGGTGCAAGGAACTTTGAGAAGACAGGATGCTACTAGCACGAGACTTCGCGATTCAAATCAGCAGCGAGGAGAAAGCACAACTGGGAGATGGGGAAAGTAGATGGGAGGCATGGATGGTGAGCATATGGATTCGACATGAGCAAAACCGGGTAATTACCCGACCCGACCCGGTTTTGCCCTACCCGCGATCGGGTCCGGGTCGGGTCGGGTCGGGTAATTTCCGGGTAATGTTTGGAGGTCTGGTACCCGTCTGGCGGGTCGGGTAATACCCGACCCGCATTTAATTGAAGTCGGGTAATATTACCCGGGTACCCCTAGGTGGCTGTAAATTTCAGCAAACCCGGAGTAACAAACCCGAAGTCGGGTCGGGTACCCGCGACCCGACGGGTAATAAATTACCCGACATTTCGGGTGATTCTTGGGTAACGGGTATGCACTACCCGGCCCGAGTACCCGACCCGACCCGGCCGGGTAATTCGTCAAAATCCAATTACCCGACCCGGCCAAAATGTCGGGTCAGGTCGGGTACCTGCGACTCGACCGGGTAAAATGCTCAAATCTGAGCGTTTTGCGTTTAGCATTTAAACGCAGCGTTAAAACGCTAAACGCTGCCCCGCCAGAGCGTTTGCGGTCACGTACAGGCTGTTGAGGGAGGTGGGGAAGACTCGTGGGATGGTGCCGTCCATGCTGTTCCAATCCAACATCCTGATTGATTGATTGATTCAAGGACAAACAAGACAGGCTCAACAATCGTTAAGGAGAGCCTCATCGATGCTCAACTCGTAAGAACAAACCAGCAGAAAACGAAAAAAGTAGAAGCAGGTATTAGTTTGGCAGGTTCTTATGCCTTGAACTTGACCTTTGCTTATCAAGCCTTCACATTGCCTTTTCTGGTGGTACGCTAGCAGACTTCTGCTATGCCCATGTCTAAGGAGAAGAAATTGGTCCATGCAAGGTGAAGAGAGCACATCACGTCTGATAGTGCCATTGACCTTGGACAGTACTATGTGCACGACAGCTGAGCTGATTTACAGACAGTGTGCTCAGAGTCGTGAGGGCAGAGAACGTTGACGGAATGGAGCCTTGGACGCTGTTGTGTGAAAGGGATCTGTCAGGTAGCGGATGGGGAAGCTCAAGAAGAAAGAATAAAAGATTTGGATGGGCATTGCCTGATGCACGGTACGGTGTACTCTGAGATTTCTCAAAATACACCTGGCGCAAAATGGGCCGCGCATTTGGATGCCCTTCCAAATACTTCCAAACACATCTGCCTTACCTGCCTGCAGCAAAATGGGCATTGCCTTACAAGTTACCTGCCTGATGCACCGCGCAGGTCACGAAACGACAAATGACTCCCAGCAAAATGGGCATGGCCTTACAATTTACCTGCGTGATGCACCACGCGCACAGCCATTCCGGTGAGGTGACTGCGGCTCATGGCTTCTGAGGTGAGGTGACTTTGGAATCGACTCAAAAGTCACCTCATTCGGTTCAGCAGGCATTATTTGCATCTTATCCTCCTGCAGCTATGCCGCCAGTCGAAACCTTTCTCATGGAAGGAGCAGAGCAGTTACTCTGAAAGGCTGACACGACGGCGACGCAATATTGGGACTCCCAATATAATCTAGACTTGATTCGAACGAATTCTGTTTCGAGGTTCACAACAAGCAGAGGTACGTTGAAAGCAACGCTCAAGAGGAGAGAAGGTGCTCCAATGAGGCCCAGAGGTACACGGGGCGGGGGGGAGTGCCAACCAGATCCATGATTTATAGTTTTGCCATTTTGCCATGAGAATCAAAATGAAGAAGGCTCACAAGAATGTAAGGTGCTCCAATGACGTCCAGTACTCTGGGAGAGTCCCAACCAGCCCGTTGCCAGATGCATCACTGCCATTCGGAATGACAAACGCAACTAGCATGCAATCTCAGGAAAAAACATTGGTGCAGTCCAATGCCACAGGACAGCTAGTTTTGGGGCGCCTCAGGAAGATGACAGCTCGGCTGCACGTATGAGAGTGAGTCGTTGCTTCTTCATCTCAAACCAGCCACGTTGCGAGAAAGTTTTCTGAGCTGCACTGCAATGCACTGCAGGCGCCATGCCGTGAACCAGTTGCCAGCACAGCAGTGGAGAAGCGGCGAGTTACTCAGGAAAGATAAAGAATGCATTTCGTTTGCTCGTTCTTGCTGACGGTCGTACACGAAATTCGTTTCTGCTTGAAAGGACTTGATCAGCCAGCCACGGCACAATAGTTCAGAGGAAACAACGCCAGTATGTGGAAGGAGAGGAAAAGAGTACCCAGGTTGGTCGGTCGGAGGCAGCACTCACAAGTGCTCCAGCCGATTGAGGCGGGAGAGGTCCTGTGGCACGACTCCAGAGCGCAGATCGTTCCAATGGCCGGCATCACTGGCAGAGAGGGATGAACAGAATCAGGAGGGAAATGCTCTTGCACTTGCGCATGCACACATGTGAGTGTACGGAAGTGTGTGGGCATGAGGAAATGTGTGCACGAGAGGGAGTGACGAAACGGGAGAGGACAGACAGCAGGGAGGTAGGGAAGTGGAGGACGCGAGGGGGGGTTGGGGGGGGTACATCAGTATGTGGTAGTAGGCGTAGGGCTCTAGACGACATGCAAGATAAGGATCAGAACAGCGCAATGAAAGCAAGAACCTGTCACTATTGCAAGGCATCGTACTCGTACCTGACAATCAGTTGCTCTAGACACTCATAGGTGTCGCAGAGCCATCAGGTCCATAGCCCACCGAGGGAACTGGGCAGATTGCTTTTGAGTCGACTCAAAAGCACTGTGAGGGAGAAGGCATAGTGCCGAGGGGACAATGAGATGCTTAAGGCGCTCACAGGTGTCGCAGAGCCGTCAAGTCCATCGCCCACCGAGGGAACTGGGCAGTTTGCAGCGAGCTCAAGTCCCTGGAAAATGACAAAGGTAGGGGACAGACAGAGTCGTACAGTGGCGGGCAGTGCATTGTAACAACAAAAATCGAAATGCTTGACTTGTCGAACCAGATACGTAAACTGAACATCTTCTTGTTGGTGTTACAAATGTTGGGGCGAATGTATATTCCTTGCACCAAGTTAAGACAGTGACTCGTGCGTGCAGTAAGAAAGAAAAGAAGAGAAAAAAAAAAACGCCGGCTTGTTTTCGTGGAACAGAAAAGGATATGCTGTCTGGTCTTACAAGGGATGGGACAGGCGAAGAAACACTGTCTGGACTGTGTGGCCAGGCGGCCAGGCATCGGATGTACATGTACATAGTAGTGACATCCCTTAGTAATGGACAATGCATGATCTGATCTGTTGCTAACTAAATTCACTCTCATCGTACACATGAAGGGTTGGCATGGACCACGGCAGCAACCACAAGTGTGCAGAGAGGGAAAAGAGAAAGGTGAGGGGTGGAGAGTGGGGGGGCTGGATCAGAGGGCCCACAAATAAGTGAGGGTGGTGAGGGTGCCGAGCAGCACAGGTAGCTCTCCGGTCCAGAACAAATGCGTGATGGAGCTGCAGCAGGAACAAAGGGTGTGGTGAACAGCAGCAGGGAAAGGCAGACGGTGAGCAGGGAAAGGCACATGATACATGGAGGGGAGGCATATAGGCCTATGGGCATAAATAAGCCTCCACGAGTAAAACCTTCTTCCCAGAGATACAGCCACAACAAGCCTCTAAGTCGATCTTATGCTGAGCGGTCGTACGTACAATCAAGAAATGACAATAGCAACAGCAAAAGCAACAGCTCTGGTTCCTGAAATGGCTGTGCTTTGCAGGGTTCAGTTCACAAGCCTGCTTCTGATCGTGCAGGGTGTTTTTGAGAATTCTCAGAAACACCGTTCACAAGCCTGCTTCTGAGAGAGTGATAGCTGAACGGAAAGCATGCCTCCCTCTCCCAAGCCTTGAGAATCCTTACAGCCTCTGCATGGCTTTGAGAGCGGTGAGGAAGGTGAGGGCTGAGAAATCCCCAACCACGTTGTACATGCCGGCGAGAGAACTGGCAGGGCAGGGCAAGCAGAGGACGAAAGGAAGTGAATCCTGAGTGGGCTCAAAAGTTTCTCCGCGTACTGACATGCCAGGCAGGGTAGCCGGGCGGCCCGGGCCGGGGCGTTTGGAAGGAAGAAAGGATTGGCTCCTGAATGAGCTTGAAAATGGCTTGATGCTTGAGGTGGGGGGTTTCTAGGCACAAGTCTGGACTTGAGACGACTCAACAAGAAATTCTGAGGTACACGAGGTCTTCTCAGCAGCATAGCTTCTTCGGATGAAGAGACAGGGAAGGTAGGGTGACGTGATCAGTGACAATGGAAATGGGAGAGCAACAAGGAAGGACGGACTGGGTCACTGAGGGGAGGGGGGAACAATAGCCTGGCTTTCATGTTCTTAGTTGTACTTTTGAAATTCACACTCATGAAAGCAAGCTCCTTGAATGCATGAATGATCGAATGAATGAGGGGGGAGGCAGAAGCACAGTGGCATCGTGCACGGATTGCATTGTAAGATCCGAATCCAGAGTTTCACGGGGTTGTAACCAATAAGGGTTACTCTCATTTCATGTACGAGCCAAGTTACTGGATCAAGAAAGCCAAAGCTGCAGCACTTGTGCACACAGGGGGCAGGCAAAGGCATACAGTACCTACTTACGTGTGTTTCAATGCACAGAGTGTGTGGATGCTGCAGGGTGTATGGCATTACAGTGTATGCAGGTTGGTGAGGCTTGAAATCCACAAGAGATCCTCCACTCGCCCAGTGATGTTCTGTGCACCGATGTTGCTGATAGAAAGGGGGGAAGGAAATGGAGGCGAGCGGAGGGGCCAGAAATAACGGGTGAGGTAAAGCGAGAAAAATATCATCAACCACATTCGGATTGAGAATGGGGCAAAGAGAAGGTTGGATCAGGGTTTGCCAGCCTACGTGCCATACCGGCAGTGTACCTGAGCCTGAGATTTATTTTGAGCCTCAGAAATTGGCTGTTTTTTAGGCGCCTCAGAAACTGGCTGTTCTGAAGCGCCTCGGCAATGGCCTGCCCTACGTACTGCACTGGTTGTATACCTGATAGTGCTTTTGAGTCGACTCAAAAACAGTACACCTGAATTGAGAGCCGTTAGTCATTTGCTGCATCTCTGGCTTCCCCTCAGACTCACCAGAGGCTCCTTTGAGACCAGTGAGTTACATCCCTCATCAAGTATCACATCACCCCCTGTCCCTTGGAGAGAAACGCAGGTGCGTAGATGCACGCATGCATGCATGCATCCTGTACCTTACCTGCATTGCCACCACTCATTACTTACGGACCGCACATTATAAAATTTTCCTGAATAAATCTGCTTTCCGCTGCCCTCGAGTTACGGAACGCATTGGATGATTGAAACCGAGGGGTTGAGGCACTGACAGGTATGTGAGGTGAATGAGACTGCTGAGAGCAGGAGGCAGGTCGCCAGAAAGAGAAGAATACGATATGTCTCTGGTTGGGGTTGGGATTGAGATAGGGAAGAGGAGGAAGAGGGCGGGGCGTGAAATGGAGGGTTGCAAGGAGACTGCCAGATTTCACGGTTGATAGTCAAGGGTTTAGGGGAGTAGGATGGGAGCCGTAAGAGGAGCAGGAGCGAAGGGTGAAACACGAAGAAGGATGAGATGAGGCCCGCTCAATCAACGTTGCAGTGCAGGCACCTTTGTGCCCTTGCCCTCTTCCATGGATTTACGTTCACCTGTGTGTGGCAAAAACAATCATTCTCCTATGCTCACACACACACACACACACACACACACAACCACACCTCACAACCACAACGAAAAACAAAGCCCATGAACTGGCCGACATACATGCGGCGGATCTAAGGTTTACGGTTGTGCGGCCGAAGTCTACGCGGGTCTAGGGTTTAGTGTTGCGCGGCCGAAGTCTACATGGGTCTAGGGTTTGATGTTGCGCAGCCGAAGTCTACATGGGTCTAGGGTTTGGTGTTGTCCGGCCGAAGTCTACGTGGGTCTAGGGTTAAGTGTTGTGCGGCCAAAGTCTACGTGGGTCTAGGGTTTAGTGTTGTGCGGCTGAAGTCTACGTGGGTCTAGGGTTTAGTGTTGTGCGGCCGAAGTCTACGTGGGTCTAGGGTTTAGTGTTGTGCGACCGAAGTCTACACGGGTCTAGGGTTTAGTGTTGTGCGGCCGAAGTCTTTATACGGCATGTGTGCCTGGAATGAGCAGATGTGCACTCACAGGTGCACGAGAGCTGTGAGAGAGAGGATCGAGGATGGCAGAGAGCCAGACAGCGGTGTGAAAGAGATGTCCCTGCAGGGATTGCACATAGGAGAGTCCAGGAGCGCACACGGGTGTGGATGGGTGTGGATGGGTGTGGAAACGTAGAGAGGGGAGGTTCAACAAGAGAGAGAAGTGTTTTGAGGTGCCTCAAACGAGAACAGGGAGGACGGTACTGATCCATCCAGACAAGAGTAATAGTCAAAGTGATCATTCTTGAGGGTTCACAGCGCATGACGATGTTGGAAAGTGCGAAAGGGAGCGGTAACATAAGGGTGTACAGGGAAAAGAGGGGGGAAATGGGAAGAGAGGGTTTGGGAAGACAGGGAAGGGAAGGAGCAGAAGAACAGTTACTTCGTGCTCACGGATGGTGAACGAAGTGCAACAGATGGTGGTGATAAGGGAGTGAGGAGTGTGGGCGCGTGGGGGAAGATGTGAGGGAGGGTGTGTGGGCGAGACGAAGTGTGGGGAGAGGGTGTGGGGGTGGGGGTGGCGTGGTGAGAAGGGGGGGGAGGGGGAAGATGATGAAAGAGGGTGTGTGCATGTGTGGGGAGCACTCACAGCATGCGCATGGAGGGGGGCAGAGCGAGGTGAGTGATGGAGCCGTGGAGCTCAAAGTTCTCTGCCACCACACTGATGGGCCATTCGGGAGAGGCAGGGAGAGGGTGGGTGGGGAGGGGGAGAAGGAGGGGGGGGAGGGAGGGAGGAGGGAAATAGGCGGGAGAGGTGGGAGAAGGGTATGGGGAGGGCACGGTCGGGGACGTGACGAGTGGGTGTGAGGGAGGTTAAGCCACTGGGCGCACACTGGAAGGCATCAGGGCGACGCGGGTTAGCTGGAATAGGGGGTGAGGAGAGGAGGGGCAGAGATGGGGGTCAAGCATGGGCAGTCGAGGCGAGTAAAAACTCGACTTGATTGCTCGACTCATTTTTTCTGAGTAACGAGTTGGCACCCCCTGGAAATTACTCGCCCCGAGTCGAGTCGAGTTTACTCGTCGAGTAAACGAGTACTCGACTGTTACTCGTCATTTGGGCGAGTAAAAATTACTCGCGAGCAACAACTCCGCGCGTGCACTGATTTTGCTCACACATAGCATGCATGCCAAGTCATCTTGGGCTGGCCTAACGATTCGGACCCCTAAATAAACCTATGTGACCACAAACGCAATTTCAGACGCCAAACGTGGCTGCTTTTTTGTTCTTTCGGGTGCCCCCGAGAAATTGCGAAGAAACCAATCGCAACTGCGCGACGTGGCGAATCCGAAACGGAATGTCGCTTAGTCGCGAATGTCAACATTTTTGCCAGAAATCGACTTCCAACCAAATCCCTCCACTTCAACCGCACTCAACCTCTCTGCAACTACGAAATCCAACCCACCCCTCTAGCACGCTCTACGTGAGGAGGGTGCACGCTATCCATCCTGCTAACCCAATTTCGCATGCAACTAGAGTAGAGAAGCCGCCATATCGCCTCCTACAACGTGCTCTGCAGCCCTGCTTTCCCCCCCCCCTTGTGTTTATCTAGCGTTTGCCAGACCAGAAATCAAGCGTTTAACGTTCAATCAAATGCTCCCCTTCTAAAATGTGAATGTTCAAGGAGGGGGGGGGCAAACAGCCCCAAGGCGAGTAATGTTTGCCTTAGGGCGAGTACAAATTACTCGCCCCGAGTAAAACGTTTACTCGCCCCAAAAACGAGTAAACGAGTCGGGTTCTTGGAAAAAAACTCGACTCAAGTAATGCTCGACTCGCCTCCCAAGAGGGTCGAGTCAGAATTACTCGGAGCAAGTAATGCTCGACTCGCCTATTGCCCATGCTTAATGGGGGTCATGTGGGGGAGGAGGAGGTGGGACAGTGCACAAAGTGATCAGTCTGGACCTAAGGGGAAGAGATGGAGTCATGTGGGTGAAGAGGGGTGCCGAGGCAGCAATGGATGACAAGGGGGGAGATTTGAATCTGAGAATTGACTTGGGGTGCAAGGTTTCGGGGGGTGGAAAAGAATTGCTATGGGCAGTAAGTTTTTGCGTTTTAAAAACAGAGGAGGGGAGGGATAATGATTGTAGATGAGTAGAAAAGAGGGGAAGGGTTTTACAGGAGAGGGGATTACAGGAGAGGGGATTACAGGAGAGGGGCTTACAGGTCTCTGAGGTAAGGCATGCGAGAGAAGAGGGTGGGAGGCATCCTGCCTTTGGTAATGCCAACTCCAGACACGTCACTGTAAAGAGAGGAGTGTTGGTGCACAGCAGACACACGCACGCGCACGCACACACACACACACACACACACACACACTCACACGCACATGCACACACACATGCACACACACGCCCGCAGACACCCACACACACACATGCACACACGCACGCACGCATACACACACACACATACACATCTGCACGCATGCACGCACACACACACACACACACACACATGCACACACACGTGCATGCACACACAAACACACACACACACACACATGCACACACACATGCGCACGCGCACACACATGCACACACATACGCATGCACACGCACACACACATGCGCACACACACACACACGCACACACACACACGCACACGCACGCACACGCACACGCACACGCACGCGCGCGCGCGCACACACACACACACACGCGCGCGCGCGCGCACACGTGCACTCACACACACAACATGCACACACACGTGAGCGCAAACACACAACCAGAAGCACACACAAATACACACACACATGCATGCATCGGTAACAGCCCACACAGCAAAAGGCCCAGACAATCTACAAAGGCTTTTAAGTGCTACCTCTGCTTGCCTTCCACCAAAGCATGATAATGAAACATCTCTTCTCTTTCTGTAACAAATTTCCAGACATCAGACCCACGTGCGGGTACAATGCTTTGGGTATTCGGAGTCGTACGATAGAGTGAAGCCCTACTGGCTGCATATATTGTGTTCCTAAACCCGAAACCATGAAGGAACGTACATGGATAGAATGAAGCCCTGCTGGGTGCACAGCACGTGGTCCCACTGGTCGCAGCGGCGTGCGCGGTTGGAGTTGGTGGGCCAGAGGTGCCAGGCGGCGTTGAGGTCCAGCAGCGCACGCACTGGCAGCACGCAGCACGCAGTACGCAGCACGCATGGCACGGGGAAGGGGGAAAAGTGGGCAAACGCGGGACGAATAGGGGAGGAATGGGGGCGAACGTGCCAGTGGCTTTCGTGGCCTGAGAGAAAGGGCGTGCTTCGTGGCCGCATCATTGCATATTTTTGCAGATCATTGCATATCATTGCAGATCATTGCATATCATTGCATATCATTGCAGATCATTGCATATCATTGCAGATCATTGCATATCATTGCAGAACATTGCATCCGCAGCACCATGATGATGGCTGCACACTGATGATGAATCGACCGTCACGGTGACGCAAGCAGCATGGCCCTGTGTGTGGGAGGCATACTATGTCCGTGGGTGTGGGAGGAGAGAGGGAAAAGAAGTTGATGGCGTGAAGGGGAGGAGGAATGTAATGTCTGCGGACCGAATTTACCCTAGAGAATGTAAACGCATTCCGCTGCGCCTCTGGGTAACCTCGTTTTGACCCAGCAGGTAGCGAGGCGTTATACTGGAATCAGAGCCTAGCGTTCGAATCTCGTCTGGACACATTTTCCGCGCACGGCTGAGGTCGTGGCGAGAACTCGAATGTGCGAAAATGCAGCTGCGGTTGTATCCAGTCGCGAACCCAGCGAACGATACTAGCCGCTGGCCTGGCCCACCAGCGAAGTCGCTGCTGCCTTCAGCGAATTGTGCGAGGTCCTTGCGAGGGCCAACTCCCTGAACCCAACGAGGACGTTGGCAACAGGGGGGGACGAGTGTAATGTCTGCGGACCGAATTTACCCTAGAGAATGTAAACGCATTCCGCTGCGCCTCTGGGTAACCTCGTTTTGACCCAGCGGGTAGCGAGGCGTTATAAGGAAGGAGGCGGGCTTACGCTGCGAGGGATCGAGGATGGGCCTGGCGGGTGGGCGCGAAGGAGCGGCCTCGAGGAGACTCGTGCGACGCCGCTGAGTTGGACTGGAGGCGACGTTGCGCGACGCGTGCGACTCCTGCGACACGTGCGACCCGTGCGACCAGTGCGATACGCGAGACGGCCCATGCGAGATGCGCGACGGCGGCTTGTGTGACCCTGAGTCGCACGAGTGCCCTGATCCCAAGGAAACCGATGAAAGCACTTCTAGTTGTAGCAATAGCCCTACTACTAGGGGGAGGACAAGGTGGGAGAGCGGGCGGCGATGGCGGCGAAAGAGTGATGGTGGTTGGCGGGAGCGAGGCGGCCATGACTCCGGCGTCATTATGAAACTGGCGACAATGATGGCATCTACGATTCTACTAAGGGGCTCTCCTGGCTCTCCTGGGAGGCTCTCCTGAAATATACCTGTCAGAGGACTCCTGTGATGCTCTCCCACTGGCAAAAGTGACTGTTTCGTCAAGTTTTCGCAACGTCTGCAGCACTTTCAATTCCCGCGACGCAAAAGAGGTTTTGGAAATTTGGAGGTCCCTTGCCCCGAGGCTCCCAGGGGAGAGACGGCGGACAAACGCCTGATCGGTTGAGCTAGCAGAACTCCCACGATGGTGGGACGCCCATGATACGTGACGCCCAGGCTACAGAACACATTTGAACTACGGTACTGTAGCAGGTTCTGTACAGTACATCGGACAGGGAACGTTCGACCTTCCCTTGTTACTTTCGCGAGTGTCACTGTGAATCTGTCGTGAATTCAAAACGCCTGTGTTCGCGAACTCTGGTGCGGACCGCATGCACCACGCGGCCCCTGACATGCGGTACGATTGATCCCGCCATCGAACACACCTCAAGCTTCCAGACTGAGAAAATGATGAAACCCTAGTAAGGACGTGGAAAAATGCGTCCGTTTAGGGAACGCCGGAAAAATAAATCGAACTCTTAATATCGAACCCCTGGCAGAGGACGAACCTGTATATCGGACCGCCGAGATACACCACCACTTTCCAGATCCAGGAGATCGAAATTACCACCAACCATTCTCGCGAAGAGATAGTGCTTCGTCATAACCCAGAAACACACAAAATGTGCTCGTGAATTGCGAGTAGCATTTTCCGGGGCTCGAGCAGCGCATTTGCTACTGTTGACGAAAACTCTCGTTGCTGTGAATATTTCGCAGGTACTTTTACATTTTGATGGTCAAGCGATCCGGTAGGTCTTGCAGCTGTATCGATCGTGCAATCATCTTGGTAAAATGATCGTCGCTGTGAAGGCTTTCGATCTTGACGATCTGATCTGGAAAGCCACGATAACGGCGGCTGTGTTCCTCGACAGGGTACCCCGATCTATAGTACGAGAATCGGTGAAACAATCTTCGAAACGGACGCTTCTTTCCACGCCCTATACTCTCAGAAAAATGTATGTGAAGCAACCACAGCAGCCTTTCTTTCCGTTCTGCTGAACTCAACTCAACCACGCCTGTGAAAGCGACCACTGGGGTCCGATGATGATGTCGGCCAAAGCCACACCAAAAACCGTACGCCTGTGAGAACCGAGTGCTATTGGAACGGACACAGGTACACCTAGCCCGCGGTAATTTCACACCCTGAAAATGGATAGCAAACGTTTGGCGTATCCTGACGGTGTGAAGTTACCGGGGCGCGAAACGCCCCAGTATCTTCACAGGGGTAATCCACCGAACCAAAAAAGGTGCCACGCTGTCGCAAACGAGGCTCCCCTGGTCGAAATGTCACGCTGGATTGGAATTTCATTGCACCGCCCATATTTCGTGCGTTCATTGGGTGTATTTTGATCGAGCCAATTAGAAAGCATGCTGCTGATTTCATTTGAATTGGTCAACTCCGATGTGGCAGATCTACAGAACTGTCGGTGCTTCCAGAAGCGACTTTCGTTTCTGCTACCCCCTCATGACGCGCTCCTGTGCACAGAGCCACAAAAATCGATAGGTCGTCACCAATTCCGAGCCTATTCAGGTGGCTCTTTCTCTCGCGGGCCTGGGGCCGCCCATTTCAGTGCGCCCCAAACTATTGAAGCTTGACCGCCCCACTACGCGACATAGGGTGTGAAAATACTAGGTGTGAAATTAACGCGGGTTATGTGTACCAACCAGCATATGCGGTGCGGGGCGGATGGCCGCGAAACGGGTACTGTAAACCGTTTCGTAACGAACACGGAAGCTACAGTACAAATGATGTCCAACGTACGTCTACAGCGGATATGCTCTACCCTTGTTGCGCGAGTCAGTCACGTCACGGTTCACTCACAAAAGCTTCCCGCATCACTTATGTTTTTGGCACGGGCAACCGCACCCAGTTTTGAAGCACATGGTGTGCACTGTTCTCAGAGGAGACAACGGCTACAGTGAAACTTACCAGCCAAGACAGAAACCCAAACCGCATATCAAACCCAAAACATCATGAGGTTACGGGGTATTTCGGAAAGTACAAGTTTAGCCCCCCGTCGCAATCCGCATATGCCAAAGCGGTAACATTCGGACTCACTTACAATCCCATTCTTCCCGTGGCGAGGTGCCCGAAGTGTCGGAGACGCTTTCAGTCCCAGCCGCCCAAAAATATGGGGTGACTGACTCGGGCAACAAGGGTACGCTCCAAATCCGCGACTCGCAAATATGGACTACGACGAATAGGAGCGGTACGCAACGGGAAAAATGGATACAGTAATAGAATAGCACGAGTGCTTTTAGGTGGGGTGGCGTAGGCCGTTTTACTCGTTTTATTCACGATGGGTGCCTTGGCGTATTGGCCACTACGGCCAGGCTACAAGCGATTTCGTCACGTGTCATGTGAGGGCTCATGTGGCCTCTTCAAAAGCGCTCGGCGAATTTGTTGTCTGGTCAAAAATACCGTAGACAAAAAAAGTAACACCTCGTTCTCGACCTTCCCACAAGCAGCGCAGGCTCAAAACGCACAAAACAAATAATTTTGAAAACCCTTGTCGTGGTCTCACGAAAAGGGCTAAACGGAACGAATTTTTGACGACTGAATTGTGCGGTTTCGTTAACCAACCACATGTTTTTTACGAAAGCGAAAGAACCCCTTGGAGAAAATCATTTTCGAAATGTGCAGTTGTTAATGGTGATTGAGGGAACGAGGGTCGTGTTTTCGTATTCGGGACGGACCAGTTCGTGTCACGCGGGAAGCCTGAATATTTACGTAATTGGTTCAACAAAATGGAAAACACCTCGAATGCTCTTGACACGAAGATTAGAATAGGACCGTAATCGTAAGACAGAATAATGAAAAGGGGGTACGTAGGCATGCCCATGCCAGCGCGCATGCAAAAGGCCAGGTGGACGGGGGTACTAGCAGGCTGTCTGTGATTCTGTGTTCGCCCCCTCCCGTCCGTCGTGATTACGTAGCATCGCCCTGGCAAGCACGTATTGGCCGGGCAATACCAAGCACAATTCAGGGGGATTTTCCGACCTCGCACTCGCGGGTTGGTTGGCGAAGCTCGCATGCTGAAATCGCACCCAATTCGGGTGGCGCGAATCGATGGTAGGTGGCATTATGCGACTATCATAATTGGTCACTATGTTTATTACGTTTTTTTAGCGAAGTCTAATAGTATATGTATACCGTACAGATGGAGTACATCGTGGTGGATCGTATCGAATTCCGGACGTTATAGTATTATATGGAGTACAATGTTATAGACCTAATGGCATACCCGCTGTACCACTTTGCCGAGTCGCGTGGGCCACTGTCGAATTGGCATGCTTCACCACGGGCAAATGGGTCGCAAATGAGAATTTTGTAACAAGATATTTCAGAAGTCAGAATTCTGGTCAATAAGCATATGCATCTGTATGGTCGTCTCGCTTCGCGCTCAATAATATCTCTCCACGTGGCGAAACGAATAATGTCCGTCCAACAGGGAAAATGGGCAGGCTAAACCGATTGCGATTAGCTACGGGCACGGCAACCGGTGGACATCATTTGTACACTTATATCGCGTAATTTTCTCATTTTCTCACCCAGCATCTTCTCAATCCGCGCTACACTTGCGCAAACGACGAGCTACAGTAACCCATACGACAAGACCCAGCGACGCAGTCGACAAGTTACAGTACAGAACACGATAAGCTACAGCGAAATGAGAATATGGTGCAGGATAAATGTACAGAGGACGCCGGCCGGATTCGGTACTGTTACAGCAACACACCAGTTCAGGAACAGAACAGTGTTGCGTAAGAGTTACGGAATGAGCTCATGTTGGTTTCGTGTTTGGGTTAGGGGTGTTTGTAAGCGACAATTGGTGGTCTGGTGAAAAAAAACCACCAGAAATAATGTACATGCTAAGTTATCTTGGAAAATGTATATATCGTGAACTGATCAATCATATTGAACAACAAGGCATGGTCATGCATACCCGGTATTTATCGCAGACAATGAGCACTTGACTTGGTGCAGAGGGCCCCATACTTCTCCTCCCGCTGCGACTTTGTGGCATAGTTCTCAAGGCCTGGAAAATTGGCTCAGGGCTGAAGGATTCGCTGAGGGATCAGGGATTGGCTGAGGGATGTATGAAAAAGTGAGATGAAGTGATGTGAAATGCGGTGAAGTGAGATCAGTGGGAGGTGAAGTGATATAAAGTGAGATGAAGTGAGAGGAAATGAGAGAAAGTGAGATGAAGCAAGAGAAAATGAAAGAGGAAGTGAGATGAAGTGACATGAAGTGCGATAAAGTGAGATGAAGTGACAAGAAGTGAGATGAAGCGACACGAAGTGAGATGAAGTGAGAGGAAGTCAGAGGAAGTGAGGGGAAAGTGAGGTTTGAGGAAGTGCGAGTAAGCAAAAGGAAGCTCACGTGCTGGAAAGCATCGGGTGGCAGCAACTTCCTGGCCGTCTCGATCGTTCTCTCCAGGTATATGCAGAGGTCCATGAGGTATTCATTCACTAGCTGCACTCAAGCACAACACAACAACAACACAGCCCACAGACGAGAGGGAAGAATGGATTGTTGCAGTCATGCTCTTCAGGCAGATGAGCGAATCCGCCACTAGCTGCATTCGTGCACCCATGCACTCGTGCAGGAGTGCACTAATGAACGAATCCGTACTCGCCCACTTGCTGCACTCAGACACAGATACATAAAAAGTTGGCAAGGTATGAGAGGGGGAGTGGAAGAAGGAAGGAAGGAAGGAGGGAGGGAGACCGGACGCGGGTCAGGGACCTGCTCAAATAACCCTCCACCCACCCACCCACACACCCACACACCCACACACCCACCCATCCACCCATGCACCCACCCACACCTAGCCAGCCACAGCATGGTGGGCACACAAATGGACTAAGACTCTGGGGGAGCTTTGTCTCCGTGCCAGAACAACACAAGGGAGGGAGCATGGAGAGGAGGGATGAAAACGAGCACAGGATAGTTCTTGGTTCGCACCCCAGACTTCTCTCTCACACACACCTGCAGGCTGAACGTGAGCACGACCATGCGGTACTCTGACTCTCGCCGCACCACCATCTGCATCAGCCGCTGGTCGTTGGCAATGGCGGTGTTGACCTGCCGCCTCGCGTACTCTAGTAGCCGCTCATGATACTCATGGTACTCATGATACTTGTGATACTCTGAGTTGTCCATAATGATAACCGCCATGTCCGAGTAGTTCATCGTAGAAAATTGTGGGCCCTCCAATTCGGCCAAGTTACTTTTGCACCCGAAAAGTCTGTGAAAAGCCCTTAACATCTGGGTAAAAGAAACCCTGGCATATGTGACTTTGCCGCAACTTGATGCCACCAAGCCCAATGTCACCTTCACGTGATGTTTGCGCAGGTGCAATCTACAGTCCATGTGCGATGGACACGTGCGATGTCTTTATTGGCTATTGTATGACATTTTGGGCGCAGCGTAATTGTATGTACGACTCGGAGGTTGCCACAGCCATCTGGTTCCACGTTTATTTGCGTGGTCAATGGGGTTACAGTTTGGTTCTTACAAGCATCGCCCTGATTTTTGCAAGAAAGAGATGCTAGCGAAAACATAAACGATTAGCGAAATGACGCGTGACAAAGAGTGCTCGTTGAACAATTTTGCAATTGTCGCGAGAAATGAACTGTACAGTCGTAGAGGCGCAAAATCAGGGCCTACATGTCCAACTAAAATCCAACCGCCTATTGTACAACACACCACGAGTGTACAAGACCCCCATAGCATGGGCCACATGCGCAATCCATCAAATACTATACACGTCGCCCAGTTGGTTAAAACCAGCCAATCGGGGGCTTGATACATAAATGACCAGTCAGTGCCTACCAAACATGGTTGATATCACGATTGTTTCTGATCAGACTGACACGTCAACGCAGCTCAAGCGGCCCCTTATCCTAACCTCTGTGATTGTCTTTCCCCACCTGAGCTATCACACCAAAGCCGTCCTTTTCTAGCAGTCTGTTTTCTTACATTCGGTTTGCTCCTCTGCTTCTCTTGCTCGTCTGATTCTCACATGATCTTTCACCTAACTACCACCTTGACTTTTTGTCCGCTATACACAATTCTGCTCGTACAATATGTCGCTCATTAATCTCTTGATTGGTTGCTCACGAATGCTCTTGTTCCTGCCTTTTTCTCTCTCTCTCTCTCTCTATCTCTCACTCTCTCTCTCTCTCTCTCTCTCTCTCTCTCTCTCTCTCTCTCTCTCTCTCTCTCTCTCTCTCTCTCTCTCTCTCTCTCTCTCTCTCTCTCTCTCTCTCTCTCGTGCTATCTCTTGCATATTTTTTTTTTCATGATATCCCCTGACGTGCCTTCCTCTTTCCGTGGCATCTATAGCTATCTCTTGCGGGTTTAGGCCATGATCAGCATATTCCTCATTGCTCTCCCCACGTTTGTATCTTTTTATCTGCTGTCATTCGTCATTTCTCCAAGTTGCGCGCACATCTAGAGCATGGTGGTTATCTCCAGGTTGCCAACGGGATAACGCCAACCCGCTACTGGTATGGACGCATGTTTTTTCCCTTCGTGTGTCTTTCTTATCTCCCTTGTTTGTGCTGATTTTGTAATATGAAATCGTCTAACCCTGCAATATGTGCAGTGCGAATTATGGGATATCGAGAATCAGGTATGAAGGTACTCATTTCCTGTTAAAATGCTTTTAGCATGTGCCTGATGTTTCATACTGAGTCGTTTGTGCATGTGTGCAGGAACTGATGTTTTCTCCCAAGACCACATGAAATTCACACGTGTACACGTGATATTACAATTGCATAAATTTGTGGTTTAGGGAGGCGCCTTATATGCTTTGAAAGGCAGGATAATGTTTGTGAAAAAAACATGATGTATTGAAGAGATACGTTATGCTAATGTAAATGTGTTAATAATTTTGCATTTGAAAAATACACTATCGAGTATCCTAAATGTATAGTAGAATCAAATCGGAAGCAATTTGCGGAATTTGCGGGAGCCAATGTCTCCATCAATGAGAAGCCACCGACATTATAGGTAGGTGGCTAGTTGTTCCTGTTTCCCGCACTATCACAGGATCGAATGCGTTATCCGTTATGTAGAAGAGAATATAAACTATAGAATGAATATTGAATGTTGAATGACAATCCCGAGGAACAACACAATTTATAGGCGAGCACTTGCGAGGTCCTCCGAGCGAGGCGCGAGTCTAGCAAACGTGATGTTCCAGAAAGGAACCATTTCCCTCTAGAAGCGACTGCTCTAGAAGCACTAGAGGATTCTCCAAAATACTGTTAACACTCGGTGCACGCAACAATTAATGTAGATAAACGTACACTTATGATAACCGAGAATAATCCAGATGACCACTTTGGATAAAATATTCCGGGCGATTAAAAGGAGTATTCTAGGTAATGAATAGTGACCTAGAAAATACAGAAATAGTCCTTTCTCCTAGGAAACCTATCCTGCTCTCACACTTCCCCCCCTCAAAGCTGGGTGGTATCTGTAACGCCCTGCTTGAGTAAGTACTGTCGAAGAGCACGGGTAGCGCTTCCCATGTCGGATTCCTTAACCCAGCTGTCCTTGGACGGGTCATAGCCCTTCCGGCGGATGAGGAACTCGATGTGGCCATGACGTCGGCGTCGATGAGCACGGACAGTCTCAATCTTGTACTCAGGTTCTCCGTTGACGATGATAGGAGTAGGCGGAAAAATGTCATCCTGAGAAGAGGTGATGCGGGTCCTTGTAGGGTTTCAGGAGTTGCACATGGAAGGCATTGTGAATCCTCCATGCTGTTGGGAGTTTAAGGCGGAAGGTTAAAGGAGTAACATGTGCCTCAACGACGAAGGGTCCACAGAACCGAGGTCGAAGCTTAGAAGGGATGTGGCTAAGGTCAAGGTTCCTGGTGTCTAATAGAACAGAGTCTCCTATCTATATCTGATGGTCTCGTCGGCTCTTATCTGCTTGTCCTTTCTGGGATGTTTGCACCTTTTGGAGGCCCTTCTGCGTAGTATCCCAGAGTTGATGCGTGGCAGTGACGAAGTCGTGTGCAGGTTGGACTTGAGCAGGAACAAGATGTTGTTGTGGAGTGAGGGGAAGCCATCCATAGCAAATGAAGAATGGTGTTTGTCCCGTAGCAGAGTGGGTAGCGTTGTTGTAAGAAAATTCCAGTAGAGGTAACTGGCTGGTCCCACTTTCTTGTTTTGTCCATGCAGGCAAACCTCAGCAACTGTTCCACGATCAGGTTCGGTCGTTCTGTCTGCCCATCAGTCTGTGGATGGTAAGTGGATGACATCGCCAGACGGGTTCCAAGGAGTCGCATGAGTTCCTTCCAGAACTTGCTAGTGAACTTCAGATCTCTATCAGAAATCAAAGTCCTAGGGATCCCAAGGAGGTAAGCGACTTGGTGGAAGAACAGGCGAGCTGTTTCTGCAATAGTGGTGTTGGCGTGCGTGGCGAGGAAGTGGCCCGTTTTTGAGAATTTTTCAATAACCACCATGATTGCATCATGTCTTGCTGCTGTACCCGAGAGTCATGTGATGAAGTCCAGGCTCACTGTATGCCAAGGTTGTTCAGGAACAGGCAGTGGTTGGAGGAGGCCAAGCTTCTTCTGCTTACTGTTCTTTATTCGCTAGCACGTGTCGCAAGATGTAATGAACTCCTAGATGTCTGTCGCCATATTCAGCCAGTAGTAGTATTTAGCAACGCCTGTCAGAGTCTTGTTGCTGCCGAAGTGTCCAGCTAATACAGTGTCGTGATATTCCTCTAGCAGTAGCTGCTTCAAGGGTGCATAGTTAGGTACCCACAGCTTCTTAGTACCCCTCTTATATGCGAGCCCTTGGTCCCATAGAAGGAGTATGCGTCAATTTGCTGCTCGAATCTCTGGGTCAGTGTTGTATCCATATTGGAAGAGGCCTTTGAGGAGATGGTTCATCCTTTGCACTTGGAGGGAGGCGAGGTTCGGCGGTCTGCTAGGTGCGTCAGCCTTGTTACGCAACACAGGCTTGTACACGATGTCATAGTTGAAGTGGGTTTCCATGAAATCCACCCACCGAACTTCAGGCTGCAATGGTCGGTGTAGACCGTTGTTGTCGCTCCTTCCAGGTGGCAACGCCAATTTTTTAAGGCGATGATGATGGCTAAAGCATCTTTGCCATGTATGGGATAGTTCGGCTGCGCTCCATACAATTTCGTGCTAAGGTATGCAATAGGTTGCAACCCTTTGCCACGATCTTGCATGAGTACTACTCCCACGACTGCATTACTGGCGTCAGCTTCGAGAACGTAGTCCTTATCTGGGTCAGGTAGGATCAGGCCTGGTGCCAAAGTTAAGGCTTGTTTCAGCTTCTCCACAGCTTGTGTGTGCATCTCCCCCCACCAAAAAGGCACTCCTTTTTCAGTAACTCTGTGAGCGGTACTACTATCTCGGCATAGTTGGGGACGAAGTGGTTGTAGTAGTTGGCAAAGCCGAGGAACTGCTGAAGCTCCTTCACGTTCTCGGGCTACTTCCACTGCTTTACTTCTTCGATCTTTTTGGGGTTCGCGTATACTCTGCGTGCGCTGGCGACGTGTCCCAAGAAGGGAACTTGATTCAACGCGAACTCGCTTTTTGAGAGTTTGGCGTAGATCTGTTCCTTCCGAACGATTTCTAACACTTGCCGTAGGTGACGTATGTGTTCGTCCATCATCTTGGAGTTTATTAGGATATCGTCCAGGTACACTACGATAGACTCGTCAAGCAGCGGGTGGAGAATATGATTCATCTCGGCCTGGAACGTGGCGGGTGCATTCGTGAGTCCGAACGGCATCACTAAATACTCGTAGGAGCCATAGCACGTCTGAAAGGCGGTTTTGTGGATAGAGTTATCCGCCATCCGAATTTGCCAATATCCTGACCGGAGGTCCAGTTTAGAAAAATGCGTGGCCCCTCAAAGCTGGTCCAGCGGGTCGTCAATCCTTGGAATATGATATTTATTCTTGACGGTCTGCTTGTTGAGCCCTCTGTAGTCGATGCACATCTGCAACGATCAGTCGAGTTTTGGTATGAAGAGTGCAGGTGCTCCGTAAGGTGATGTTGACAGTCGGATCAGCTTCTTCTCTAGCAGGTATTTAATCTGCTACTTATATCCACTAGCTTAGATGGACTCTGGCGGTACGGATGTCGGAAGGTTGGTTTAGAACCAGGTTCCTCCGCGATCTCGTGCAGGTGTGCACGTGCTGGTGGCACGCCCGCCGGTAGGTCGTCAGGTAACACGTCCTTGAATTCCTGGAGAACCCCTTTGATGGCACTAGGGAGTTCCTCAGGTAGCTCCAATTCGGTGTCGTCTGCTTCAGTAACCAGCACCGTGTAACATTGCTCCGCTTTCTTCAGCTCCTTGGAGTATCGTACCCACGAAATAGTTGGTACGTCTCCCGTGTCCTCCCAGGTAGGTAACTCGATAGACTGATTTTTATTTTTATACGTGGCCGTCCCCAGCTGCCAATTGATGATAGGGTTTAACTGCTTCAAGAAATCCCTCCCAGGTATAGGTCCACTCGTTGTACCTGGATAACTGCTGCAAAGGGTGCCCAATGTATTGGTCCAATGTAGAGTTGTATCCGCGTTTCGCCGAGTACTGGTAACTCCGTGCCATCCACTATGTCGTAAAGTGGGAAGGTTTGTTGCTGAAGCCGAGACGTTTGATGGTAGTGTCGGAGCAAACTGTATCGGAGGCTCCGCTATCCACTAAGGCTTTGAGTCTCTGACTGTTGCATACTACTGTCAGTAGTAGAGGAGGTTTGGAATCCCCCGTGTAGTTGAGAACCTTTCTACTAAGAGGGTCAAAGGGTATAGAGATGGAGGAATTACTGTATGGATACTAGGATCCACTAGATTCTAATGGTGCAGCTGCTCCAGTATGTGTGATAGGCAAGTGGTGTGTGAAGGGCGGATCCACAACCGGCCTATTGGTTGGTGTAGGGTTGGCACGCGTCCGTGCCGCCACTGGTGTCGACCGCAGTTAATTTTCCCCCAAGGTCCTCTGGCACTGGAATAATTTCCAGAGGTTTCTGCTTCAATAGGAGTCCTTCCGGGAAAATTTTGATAGTCGTAGAGCCCTTAATTTCATGATGAAGTAAAGCTTCTTTATACCACAAAGAAAGCTAATTTTCATGTGAAATTGAATATTTGCCGTGGTTTCCCAGATCGGTCGGGTGTAGTTTCGCAGGTATTTTCTGCTCCTCGGTGATTTTCCTTGACGAAATCTGGTCCTTCGCGCGTAGATTCACGTCACGATTTATCCACGTTAGCGCCCAGTCATTCTGCTGCTGCTGATTTTCGCCTTGACTGCCTCCGATTTTTCAGATTTTGACCGATCCGCCAGGTAGATCCGCAATCACTAGTGGCGACCATTTTTTTGCTTCTGATTTGCCCAAATTGGAGGGGTGCTGATGCCGCGCTTGGCTCGATACCCTTGTTGCCGGATTCAGTCACCCCATGTTTTTGTGCGGCTGGGACTGAAAGGTGTTAAACTGAATGAATGAACTAGAAAGTGTGAGTACAAGGGATTATAACCTACTGAGCTGTACTATCTAAGGCACAACTCTATATGGTCTACAACAACACACAAATATGTTTGACACACCCCCTAGACTGAATAGGGGCAGTGCTTGGTAAGAGACAAGCAGCTCAGGGTGGCACTACTAGTCCAACCTCTAAGGCAAGGGTCTAAAGACCAGTCAAACGAGTACAGACCACTAGTCCAGAGCAAGACCAGGGCGGCACTACTAGTCCAGCCACTGGGAGAGGCCACAAGGCCAGTCAGGGTAAAATATATATAAAAGGTCTGTACAGAATCAAGGCCCAAGCAAGTAAGAGGCTATAGGAAGCAGACCTAGCTGTACACAGTGCCGCTGAAGATCTTTAGGCGCAAGCGCCTTCGTAAAGATATCAGTTGTATTGGAACCGGAGGCCAAGTGTACTACGCGAGCCTGGCGGTGCTGCTGTAGCTCGCGTAGGAGGAAGTACCGCAGCTGGATGTGCTTCGCTCTGCCCTCAGGTCGAGGCTCCTCACACTGGAGAATCATGGCCCTGTTATCAGCGTACATGACTGGGGCAGAGCTAGGCCGCTCACCTAAGTCGGTGAGCAAGAAGGTCAGCCAGCGGAGCTTCTGTGCCGTCATGGCACCAGCGTAGATCTCAGCCTCATAGCTGGACTGGGCAACATACGAGGAGCGAGTAGCCCTCCACGAGACGGCGCCTGAACCAAGGCAAAAGCTGTAGCCCTGCGAGGACCTGAGGGTCTCGGCGTCGTCTGCCCAAGAAGCGTCTGTGTGCCCAGTAAGGACCACTGGCCTACGTCCTCCTAGCACTAACCCCATGCCCGATGTACTTGCTAGATAACGCAAAACCCTCTTAGCGGCTGACCAGTGATGTCGTCGGTGTCTGCCTGTGACCACAAAGCGAGTCAGGATACTGAGAGGGAATGCGAGATCTGGACGAGTGCAAGTCATCTAGTACATGAGGCAACCCACCAACTCTGCGTAAGGACCACTGGGCTCTACTGACTCCTCAGGAATAGGAGGTGAGAGCCTGTGGTCTACAGGCAGAGGAGTGGGCTATGCGGAGGAGAACTGAAGACCGAACCTCAGAAGGACCAAGCGCACCAAGTGTGACTGGGTGAGAGTGATTGTGCGCGCTGCTCTATCCCTGGAGATCTGCAGGCCAAGGTAGCGGCGCAGTTCTCCTAGGTCAATGCAGGTGTGTCTCTTCAGCAGCTCTGCCTTCACGGAGGTCAGCACGTCCCTGTTTGCAATGGCGAAGGCCAGGTCGTCTACGTAAACAAGAATGTAGAACGGATTCAAGCCAGCACGAACGAAGAGGGAGGGGTCTACAGAGGACGGAAAGAACTGCAGGTCAGCAAAGGGTAGCACGCAGTGTGTCGTGCCACTTACGAGGCACCTGTCGCAATCCGTAGACTGGGCGTCGCAAGAGCCATTGGGTCCCAGGAGGGTAAAGCTCTGAGGGCGGCGTAGTTAGACCTGCTTGTGTAGGCTGCTCTGAAGAAACGCTTTGGAGAATTCAAGGGAGTGTAACTCGTAGTCACGTTGTGCTGCTACGTATAGCAGCGCCCGAAGAGTAGCCATCTTCGGGGTCGGGGCGAAGGTCTGAAAGAAGTCCACCCCCTCACGCTGACGGAAGCCTCTAGTCACGTAGCGCGCCTTGAATACAGATGGCTCTCCAAGGGGGCGCTTCACCTTGAAGAGCCACCGGCCATCGATTACGTTCACCCCAGGTGGGGGAAGTGCGTCGACGTAGGTGCCGGTGTATCTCCAAGATGCCATCTCCTGTTCCATGGCAGCTATCCATTGAGAGGCCTAGGGTCCCGAGGTTGCCTCAGCGTAAGTGCGAGGGGTCAGGATGTCGAAAGCGTCTGGGTCACCCTCAGGGACTAGCAGCATGGAACAGAGATGGGGAGCAGCCTCGGACAGGAAAGCAAGCTCGTACTGCCGGTCCTCCAGAACGTCACTGCCGAGGGCAGGAGCACCCCCGACGAACAAAGGACGAGTAGGGTCAGAGACCAGAGCGGTGGCGTAGTCAAGGCGGCGGGTAGAGGCGAAGTCATCGACCGCAGTGACAAGAGCATCAAGACGCGAAACAGGAACAGACGGGTCGGTAACGAGAGAGGCAAGGACCGAAGGAACAAGAGGACGAGCTGCACGAAGGTAGTCAGACAGAGGGGGGGGCGCGACAACAAGGGAGGACGGAGGAGGTGACGGCAGGAGGGAAGGATGAGATGCGTGGGAACGAAGCAACATAGGGTGAGAGCACGAGACAAGGGAGACAGGGCGAGCACGAGAGGGACGGCGAGACCAGACGTGAGACGGAGGTGTCAGGTCAGGAGACAGAGGAGGAGACATAGGAGGAGAACGCGGGGGAAGACGAGCCGGAGACGAGACCGGAAGAGGGAACAGAGGGCCGTAGACAGGAAGGGGAGGAGACGGTGGGGGAGGCGCAGACGCGCGGTCAGGGGACGGAAGGCCGAGCAGGCGAAGGGCTGACACCGGCGGCGACTGCTGCTGCGGCGGCACGACGGCGACATCGGGACCGCTAGCTGCTCTACGGCGAAAGGGCTGGCTGGGCGGCAGGTCGAGCTGGGCGGAAGGGCCGGCTGGGCGGCAGGGCCGGTCGGCGACAAGGGGCCGGCTGGGCGACGGGGGCGATGCGGCGACGGGGCCAGTTAGGAGACGGGGCCGGCTACTCGGCGGGGTTGGCTCAGCTGAGAGACGAGGCCGGCTGCTCGGCGGGGGCAGCGACGGGGTCGGCCAGGTGACGAGGCCGAGGGGGCGGCTAGAGAACGGGGTCGCGGGCAGTTAGGCGACAAGGCCGCGAGGCCGCTAGGCGAAGGGGCCGCGGGGCCGCTAGGAGACGGGTCCACGAGGCCGCTAGGCGACGGGGCCATGGGGCCGCTAGGCGATGGGGCCGAGGGGCCGCTAGGAGACGGGGCCGTGGGGCCGCTAGGAGAAGGGGCCGCGGGGCCGCTAGGTGACAAGGCCACGGGGCCTCTAGGCGACGGGGCCGAGGTGCCGCTAGGAGACGGGGCCGAGGGGCCGCTAGGAGACGGGGCCGCGGGGCCGCCAGGGGACGGGGCCACTGGGCCGCTAGGCGACAGGGCCGAGGGGTCGCTAGGAGACGGGGCCGCGAGGTCGCTAGGCGATGGGGCCAAGGGGCTGCTAGGAGACAGGGCCGCGGGGCCACGAGGAGACGGGGCCACGGGGGCCGCTAGGAGACGGGGCCGGAGGGCCGCTAGGAGATGGGCAGCGGGGCCCGCTAGGAGACGGGGCAGCGGGGCGGCTAGGGCCTATGGTGGAAGCGCGGGTGGGCGGTGGGGACCTAACCTTCTCATGATACCATGTGAAACTGAAAGAATGAACTAGAAAGTGTGAGTACTAGGAATTATAACCTACTGAGCTGTACTCTCTAAGGCACAACTCTATATGGTCTACAACAATACACAAATATGTTTGACAAAAGCGTCCCTGACACTTCGCGCACCTCGCCACGGGAAGAATGGGACTGTAAGTGAGTTCGAATGTTACCACTTTGGCATATGCGGATTGCGACGAGGGGCTCAATTTGTACTTCCGAAATACCCGATAACCTCCTGATGTTTTGGGTTTGACATGCGGTTTGGGTTTCTGTCTTGGCTGGCAATTTTCACTGTAGCTGTTATCTCCTCTGAGAACAGTGCACGCCATGTGCTTCAAAACTGGGTGCGGTTGCCCGTGCCAAAAACATAAGTGATGCAGGAAGCTTTTGTGAGTGAACCGTGACGTGAGTGACTCGGGCAACAAGGGTATTACACTGAGGGAAAAAACCGTCCGGATGTTTGGCACGAAGTTGGGTTTTTAGGCTTTAAGACTACTGTATGGTAAATTTGCAAGATGCATGGTGGTACGCGTTGGGAGAGGCACAAAGTGGATGCGTTCACAGCACTAAGAACTAGAATAGTACATTGGATCCAACTCATATTCCAAAAGATATACAACGAGTACATCCGGACAGTTTTTTCCCAGGACAAAGAGCAAACTTCCGAACAACGTTTCTAGTACCTAGTCCACCTACTCTTGGCGTTGATCACCATCCGCACCCTCCTAGGCATGTTATCTATGGGGTTAGTGCAGACCTTTGCATGAAGCTTCTCGCACTCTTCCTGGACCCACCATTTTGCATAAGGGGGTGAGCACAAGGAAAATTGCAAAGTATTTGAGCGTATGCATAAGTATTGTACACAAATTCTGAATGAATGTTATCTCAGAGACTAGCCAAGCCGAGGGGTGGCCAAAGATGCCATTAGTTAAATGGTCCCGGCTTATCATGGGTCGTCTTCGTTGTATCGTTCTAGGGTAAAATCACGAATAGAGTGGCAAAATCTAGCATTCCCGCCACGAATCTTAGGGTAACAGAGCACGGTCGACTGAACATCCTTTCACTGTGTGAACCATGTTAAAATCCGCGGGTCTAGTGACGGGGCAGCAGTCGAAGAAACCTCGACTGTTTGGGAAGAATATCTGGATTGAGGTCTGGTGAGAAAAAGGGTCACTCCAGCGCAACATACTTATGCTCTCCAAGGCATTCCATGTCATTTTCCCTGCCTAGGCTTGGAATGGCTCGGAGAGCATGGATATGTAGCTCTGGAGTGCCCCTCTTCCTCACCAGACCTCAACCCTGATATTCTTCCCAAACAGTCGAGGTTTCTTCGACTGCTGCCCCGTCACTAGACCCGCGGATTTTAACATGGTTCACACAGTGAAAGGATGTTCAGTCGACCGTGCTCTGTTACCCTAAGATTCGTGGCGGGAATGCTAGATTTTGCCACTCTATTCGTGATTTTACCCTAGAACGATACAACGAAGACGACCCATGATAAGCCGGGACCATTTAACTAATGGCATCTTTGGCCACCCCTCGGCTTGGCTAGTCTCAGAGATTACATTCAATCTGAATTCGTGCACAATACTTATGCATACGCTCAAATACTTCGCAATTTTCCTTGTGCTCACCCCCTTATGCAAAATGGTGGGTCAAGGAAGAGTGCAAGAAGCTTCATGCAAAGGTCTGCACTAACCACATAGATAACATGCCTAGGAGGGTGTGGATGGTGATCAACGCCAAGAGTAGGTGGACTAGGTACTAGAAACGTTGTTCGGAAGTTTGCTCTTTGTCCTGGGAAAAAACTGTCCGGATGTACTCGTTGTATATCTTTTGGAGTATGAGTTAGATCCAATGTACTATTCTAGTTCTTAGTGCAGTGAACGCATCCACTTTGTGCCTCTCCCAACATGTACCACCGTGCATCTTGCAGGTTTACCATACAGTAGTCTCAAAGCCTAAAAACCCAACTTATTGCCAAACATCCGGACGGTTTTTTCCCTCAGTGTATGCTCGTGCTGCAATCATTCTACTGCATTGACCGATTTCTTGCCCGTTCGCGCCACAGAAATCGCATCGCTTTTTTCAGTCGTTACGCGAACGTGCGTCTAAACAGTCGATCTCGACAGGGTCGGCCATCGTGGGAAAAGCCAAGCGCTCGTGTTGGTCGTGGATTCGAGGGCCACGTTCGCCCGAGCATCGTGTGTCGTGTCTCCGGAATGCGTCGAATCATTTGGCGGCAGAGACGAGGTCGTGGTACACATGAAGTCCTTTTCAGTCTCAGCATTTTTTATGGGCGAGTGCTTCATAATCGAGCACTTAACTTTCACAGGTGATTTGGGCCAATATAGTGTAGTCTGGTTACCTTCTTGGCATTTTCCAGTCTAAAGCGGTTGACCATTGTTGTTTATTTTCCGTTCCTCGGGCAACAGTGTAAGGTATGAGAACGTCCCGTCTCTACGTTTGGAGGTCTCCGCACTAGATGTGGTAACTGCTGCAGATCTTTGGGCCTGTGTCGTTTTGGTAGTTTTCCGTGCATTCGGGCTAATGTAACTGTATGTAGGCACGTAGCATTTAATGAATAGGCGACTAACCGGGCGTCAGATGTAGTTACTGCAATTCGATGTCGCCACTTGTCGTCGCACGTCTGGTTTCTGTCCCGCCAGGTATGATTGAATTTTTTTTTCGCCCTTCGTAATTGTATTCGCACGTAAAACTGCTCCATCTACTGCGTGTACTGCGCCACACTCGAAAATTGTCGATGCCGATGAATATTTTCCCGCACGATGTAGGTCGAATTTACGGGCTCGAAACACGTAAGTAGTCCGTCACAGAACTACTTCCACATGGCTTCGCACTTTAGATGTTGACTGTTGTTGAAGATCCATTCGAGAGCTGGGCCGCGCATGAGCGTCGCTGCGAACTGAACCATTTTGTTGTCGTGAGTCATCGTTGACCATCCGATCACCGCAAAATAAACAACACAATTTATAGGCGAGCACTCGCGAGGTCCTCCGAGCGAGGTGCGGGTCTAGCTAAAACGTGAATGTTCTAGAAAGGAACCATTTCCCTCTAGAAGCAACTGTTCTAGAAGCACTAGAGGATTCTCCGAAACATGGTTAACACTCGGTGCATGCAACACTTAATCTAGACAACACATACACTTTGATAACCGAGAATAATCCAGATGACCACTCTGGATAAAATAATACGGGTGATTAAAAGGAGTATTCTAGGTAATCAATAGTGACATGGAAAAAATAGAAATAGTTCTTTCTCCTAGGAAACCCATCCTGCTCTCACACGCACAGGGATTGACAATTTGTTTGCACTGCAAAGGTTGTTGTTACTGGCCCAGTTGTTGGCTTCCGAGGGATTCCCGTGTGGTGGGAGGAGGCACAGACCGAGTTGCCACGTGTCATTGTTTTCCTGGTATACTATGAATTCACATTTCCGTAACCTGCCAGTAACGTATGTGTTTCTTGTTCACATACATCAGTTGTCGCTCCCGTCACATTTTCGCAACTGAGCTGGTACCCTGGACATAGTCACTTTAGACCTCAAACTTTTAGCCACCATGACCAAGTTACGGAAAAGTCACGGAAAAGCAACGATCGTGTCACTTCCGGCACTTGCGAATTCCGCGATGTTGACGTTATCTTAGTGGATTCAGACCGCCACCTTCATGTCAACCCGTCAAGTAGTAGTGGAGAGAGAGGCGGACTGCATACAGGTGCACCCATGCTAGTGAAAATCCTCGCATAGTGAGTGTCTGAGTGAGTGATTTAGGAAGAGCGAGTAGCCAACTCGGTAACTTTGTCACCTCTCAAAGCCCTTGAGCTAATAGCCGTCTATGCCTTCTGAGAGCAAGAGAGAAGACAATCCAGTTCTTGTCCAGGGTGCAAGCTGGTGGGTTCGCCAGAGCATGCTATTGAGGCCGAGAAATTTGGGGTGGAGTGGAGAGAAAGGAAGTGCACGAAAGAGCTAGTTCAAACACAAGCGGGCGCCACATAAATTACTGTGGAAAAGCTTGACTTAGCATCACGAAATCTTAGCTTGACTTACCCTGACGAGGAAGGCATAAATTGGCTGTGGGCAGTATAACGCCTCGCTACCCACTAGGTCAAAACGAGGTTACCAGAGTGGCGCTGCGGAATTGCACGTTCACATCTTAGGTGCGTTACACTCGTCCCCCCCTGGTGCCAACGTCCTCGTTGGCTCAGGGAGTCGCCCCCCGCAGGGACCTCGAATTTCGTTGCCTAGCTCAGCGACTTCGCTGGTTTCACCGAGCCAGTGGCTAGCAGGATTGTTCATGGGTTCGCAATTGGTTACCACCTCCAATCTCTCGGAAAATGTGACTAGTTGGAATTTGAACCCTAGGCTCCGATTCCACTATAACACCTCGCTACCAATTGGGTCAAAATGAGGTTACCAGAAGGGCGCAGCGGAATTGCATGTTCACATCTTAGGTACATTACAGGCAGCTATCTGAGAGTGCTGGGGGGTGCATAATTTCGGCCAAATCAAGGTTCCAATCAGCATATTTCTTATGCCAGTTGCTAGTCCGCAACTGCTAGGGAAACCTGACTTAAACCACCTTGTCCTAATTTGTTGGAGGTTGGAAAGTATTTCACCTCTACAGTCAGAACCCCGAATCAACACGAGGCCTAACTAGGTAGTGTTGTGCAGAAGCTTGACTCGTGGCAGGAATGCATGCATTCCTAATGCCTGAGAGAAGAAGAGCAGGGCCCAAATTTCTAAGGTGTTTTTCACCGATTACGCTTACCAGCGGTCGCTTTTTAGGTTTACCCTGATTTTGTAAGGGCATTTGTTTTCTGACCCTTTCTGCGAAAAAGTGTTACCTTGCTGTAATAAGGGTGCTCGTAGTATTACCCTGACCGATCAGGGAGCGTCGAAAAACGCTCTGGAACCGAAAACTCTGACCGCTCGGAATTCTACAATTGTTGAATCTTCCCAGCGGGGAATCATCCAGGCAGCCCCGCCCACTGACTCTGAAACTGTTGTCCCAGGAAATCCCTCAACCCATAGCCCACAGTCCTCCACAGCCAGGGGCATTCCTCCTGCGCATCCCACAAATCACGAGATCTCCGAAATTTGGCTAAGTCCTCAAAGCCAGAGACATTCCTCCTACGCACCCTGCAACCCATCATATTTCGCCAAGTCCTCACATCCAGAGACTATCCTCTAACACCTCTAAGTCACCCCACCCCCCTCCCCAAGCCCATAAAAATCGGCTAAGTCCTCCATGTACCTACAAATACATTCTACCCCTTTCTCCCACACCCTGTCAGCACAAAGTTGTGGCCGGGCGTGCAAGCATGCTTGAGCAGCATGTGTCAAAAAGCTGATTTGACGTGTGCGGGAAATGATTACAAGACTCGCCCAGTTGCATCAGCAGCTCTTACGAGCCTCAGACAACTTCTTCCCGTCATCTGAGAGCGTGTTTCAGAGTGAATCCGTTTCAGATTTGCGTTCCACTGCTCTCAACCGAATTCAAAACAACTCACGCTGAAATTTCATGGTACAGATTCGCGCAACTCTGAAACAAGGTTCGCCCTGGAAGAGGTTTAGAAACACGCATTCAACATGATTATGTCCAATCTCGCATCGCACCACGTGGAACCGCACTGAACAATTGCGCGTCAAACAACACTATAGCGCCCGAGTCTGGGAAGAGGTTCCCTGGGAAGAGGTCTGTAGAAACACGCTCTCAGAGAGGTACTACTGGCCTGAAAGCTATGCCACCTAGCAACACTTGTTCCCTCATTTTCGCTGCTCCCTGCCCTGAT